AGAATACACCACAATGTATGTAGAGCTGAAGCGAATGAACAACATAATGCCTTTATTGTGGTAACTCTGTATCAACAGAAATATCCGCTAACCTACGGGACGCATACCAATGGAGATTCAACGTCGAAGGGTCATATCCGATACATCAGCGCCACACCGAGAGACATTAAAATGAGAACACCAAGCTCTGCATGCCACTACTTGCTAGTTATTCAGATTCATACACACACATCCCAATTTCATTGACATACCAATGCATCCCATTAATTGCTGTTTCCGCCTATTTACATAAATTTAACATCAGAGTGGGTCTAACCCCACGTTACAGTTGAACCACAGACAGAGCACAGAAAAGGTCTCCTTGATCATGAGAATCCCTCTCTGTGCTGTCTGCAAAAATGCTGTTGATTATGACCTTGTGTTATGAGCACATCGGTAGCGTTCATTGACGTTCCCTCTTAACTTCTATAAATCAGGGTTTAATCCCTGCATGACTGTAAAGTCTACGTGGGAGCAAAAGCTGAGTAAGCCTTATGATGACATTTGTGATGCGTAATTCGTCAAATCTCATAGACAAGTGATAGAAGTGATTTTTTGAACGGATTTGCAACAATGATTGCTGAGGCTATCGTTTTACCTGATAAACCAATCACTTTATAGGTAGTGGTAAAAGGTCGCATTCGGCTGCGGGACTGATGAATATACAAAGCAAGAATGGTTGCTATAAATTATCGATACTGATTTCGTATTCAGGAAATGTGATGCAGTTATAAATGATCCAAATTACGGATTAGCGTCGATGAAAAAAGAGTAACTTCAAACGCATAATACAAAATCTACGAGTAGGAAAGAAACTACTTTTGAACCACCATTGCGATGACGAACGACGTTTTCAGTCTGGGGTGAGGGCGGAGAATGGCGGTCGGGCGAGGGTTTCGCCAAGGACTCTCGGGAATTCCCAAAGGCTGTGGCGAGTGGGGAGGAGGGTGCTGAGGCCTCTTCGGAGCCCCTGGAGTCCATAGGCTCGCGATCTTGATGCGGCCGCCTGTCTGGGCCCGGCACTAGCGCCTGCATTCGAGCAAAAAGCAATTCGCAGACTCGCACATACTCACACCGTCCAACTACCACTTCTCTTTCCCAAGAAATTCATCGCGACTTTAACGTAAGGCTGGTGATTCTCTGGGGGAATTCTAATGGACAATAAACTTAGTAGAGTGCCTCGGGTAGGACTCCATCAGCCGCAATAATCGAGGTTGTTATGGTGTGTCGAGGCTCCCACTATCGTCAGCAAATGCGCACGCCACCTTGGACACAGATAAGCAATACATTTAGCAGTGAGGGCAATTTTGTGAAACTTCAACAGTTGAGAACTCAATCGATGACTCGAAGTCATGTCTATACAAGAATACACTTGTTAGAGAATCAGTACAGAAATGCTTTGAATTGTTAGAGGTTTACAACGAAACCAAGTTTCAACCTAATTATTCACGTACTGTGCGAAGGTATAACCTACCCGCAGTTCGAGATGAAGGTAGAGGGTGGCATTGTCCGGACCTGCTGCCTGAAGAACATAGGGCTGCGTCACTGTCATATTCTTCTCAGCCTTCAGGTGTTTTAATGGGATTGCTAGGGTGCCCAAAACAACCTCCAATTTGCTGTCACGAATCTAAAACATGAACGTCCAATGTGAAGTAGATGAAACAATCACTGAATACTTAGGTGATATCTGAGACAGTTGCATTAGCATTAGAAGGTTTCCTCAAAACCATAAAAGATTAAGCTTAATTAGCTAATCAAAAGGTTGCACTTAAATTGGGCTTACGTATCACAATCTACAAATATCCGAATGAAACTTAGAGGACTCATGAATGATTCACTACCTCTTCTGATGGGCTAATAGGTTTCACCTTCGAAATGTGTACTAAAAGAAATGTCAGTGCAAGTGAAGGCAAGAAGGGGCACGTACCTCGATGTTGAGGGTTTGGATATCCGGATTGGAGAAGAGAAAGTGGTGAGGGGACTCCCAAATGGGATTTTGGGTTTTCTCACGCACCACCGTATTCTGTACTACGTTGCCAATTTGCAGAACACAATAGGGTGACGGCTCCTGCAAGAACCTTAAACGCTAAAGCCAACAAATGTACATTCGACAGCAAGCACTTATCAATTTGCATCTCCACGTATCAGTTCCAACTGCATTTCAAAAAGGTTTAATTAACTGCTGTTGCAGTAGGAATGGGTCTCGTTGGCCATGACGACTACCCGAATTTGGAGCCCTTATTAGCCACGATAGTTATCAAATAAATGGTCCTAGCTCCAATTTTATAACTGTTCTTCATTAGCTCAGGTAATAAACGCAAAACGCCTAATTTATTGCCAAAAGTCGCAGAACATATATCAATAAGGACACCTTGTTTGAACCTAGAACGGAGTGAAATATGAACAGCGTAGTTAAAAGTTATAGGGTGAAACTACTTACAATCATTACCAATAAGGTTAAAATTAGTGAAAGGTATAGTTGGACAAAGTACAGCTGATCTGATGATAAGTCCACCAGTTCTCAACAAACCAACTGCTACGCGTGTCAATATAAAAAACAGCCTCGTCAGACTTAGTGGTATGACCTCTCAATCAATGGGAACATTCCGTGTGATTTCAATACCACAAGTTTAGTTACTAGAATTAAAAGGAAATCTGTTCTATGAGCACCCGCAAAGTGCAGCGCTTTACTTTTCAGTAATATATAAACTACTTGTAGAAGTGCCATCCACATGCCAAAACTAGTTTGTATTTAAACTATTCGAATGGCTTAGTTTAATGAAAACATAGCAGAGTGAGAAGGCTTATGGCATCGAAAAGATTTTCCAAGCTATGGTAAACGGAAATTACAAAAACCACGCGATTAGTTTATATTTGGGCTCAGTCAATGCATTTTTAGCGCTGGTCCTACCCTAACTGGGTCTCTTTTTAGTGCTAAAGGCATAGCATTGTCCTACAATAAATGCCAGTGAAGCATTTAATACCAAAGCGACCGATGTCATTGCGCAAAAGAGAGACTGAGGGTCCATTGCATAAATTTGAAATAAACACTAAAATTCGACTGCTGCGAGAAGGTGTCAGCATAGACATTGATGACTGCTCCGATCGTTGCACTAAAACCCACGGTTAAAATGGTAGCAACGCAATTAGGAGTGTAAGCTAACCCCCACACTGCACGCCAGCAAACACACGCATGTCACACGGGAATGCTAGATAGCATATTTTTTAAAGGAAATACATAAATTTTGGTTATCATTTCCAGAACGCCCAACTCCAGGTAGCGAGTGATTTAATCAGTCCTATAAGCGACTCACCAGTGTGGAACCTTACAACTCAGGAGCAGTAATTGTTTAACAAGTTTAAGGATTGATCCAGAATACAGAAGAAATTTACCATGAGATTTCTGCCTTGCTCGACACGAACGAAGAGGTAGCTGTTAAAAATGGCCTTCTCTGCGGAGGAAGCCCGCCGAGCTTGTTCAACCTAAGTGGAGAGAATATGCATGCAATGAGATTGAGTTTAAGATTGTACAATGGCGTACAGCATATCTCCTGCCATGCGATTGAGATTTCACGAATAGGGATTACTGTTATGGATTCAAGAAAGTTGCCTCTAGTCATTTGCGCCAGATTGTAATTTTGAAGTGGGGTAATTAGATATCCTTGAATTATGTAAACGTTCTCGCCGAATCTCTAACAAGTTAAACTTTCCACATTTCACTCAGACACCAATCAGGATAACGGCCATCAGAGGTGTACTTTACATTCACCCACAGCGACACATCTCAATATGGATTGTAGAGCATTTAGAAATGCTAGAATATGCTTATGAAGTACAAAGCGATCCGGCCTAAGGTTGGTGACTTGAGTGGACGGAATTACATCAAGCGAGACATTGGACGCGGACAGAGGTGACGTTAATACGGACGTACCGCGACAAAATCCGACGCGTTGGGTGACAGATCCAGCCATGTTACTTTCATATGAACCTTGCCTTTTTTGACACCCTCCAGCATCTTCACCTGAAACATAGGAGTAAATCCTGGATAAACTCAACACTGGTTACTGCGTCCCTCTTCTACAATCATATGCACACTCTTAGCACCGTACCCATTAGCGATAATAAGAAATAACACTTGAATTACTTTTATCTCGAACCAAGTAATTTGTAATGAAATGCGCAGTCCTTTGCAAAACCATGTTCCAGTTCTGATATAGTACACAAATTCTTGGTGACCGAATGCGATATTATAATTTAAATAACAGGGCCAAGGGTTTTTCATCTCCTTTTGCATCACATACTTCTCGACATTATTTATCAAAATTCCCTCAAAAATATGCGAGCTTAATCTAAAGACTGCAACTCATGAGCTAGCATGCAAGTACCGGTAGGTATTTTGCTTGCATAGCGAGAGGATCGACACCACCTTTAAATGAAATGTTAGTCGTAGTCGCCTAAAAATCCCCACATGAATCCAAAATTAGCCAGAATAAAGACCGAAGGTCATAATTTCACGCAATGCTATAAAGTAACATCCCGAATTTTACTCAGAACTTAGATCCACCACTGAAATTCATGTATTTTGACAATCTTTTGATGTGATAATTAAATAGAAAAGTCAAAGTAAATTTTTACAGGGAATAGTGACGCCTTAAATTGGAAATCACACATCAAATAATTGTGGTATCGCAACCTTGGACGGCATAAGACAATTGACAAGCTTTATGAAGGAAGGCAGTGTTATTATCGCATCATGAACAGACGCGCAACAAGCACGTAAACACAGACATGTGGCTGACTATCAACAGGATCTTGTCGATACACGCTCCACTACACTTCAGGAGGGTATACGAGGCGTCAAGTTGCGCTTCAGACAACAGCAGGACATGCACTAATGAGAGTAAAGACTCAAAACAAGATAGAAGCGCACCAGAACATTGATTTGAACAAAAGCCCGTCCTTTTGCTTGGCTCGTCGTGCTGCGTACGGCTGAGATGAACAAAGCGCTAGCAACATCAACACACATCTGTGGCAGAGCGATGAACAATTTTAACATGCACATTTTTACAAGATTTTCAAAGAGGCCGCAATCTTACCGAATTTATTTGTCCGCGTAAGTAAACCTCCTCAATCGGAATCGTTGTTCTAAAATTGGGGAACATGCAAGCAATTAAGCGGGTGCTCATGGATGCAACGAAGTTACTTTATTGAACAGATGATGCAAAGTGATGCAACGTTCAGATTGCGATTGTGGTGTACTTTTCAAGTTGTGGTAAAATCAATATTGCCCTTAGTACCATACTATCAAATACCATCCCCAAACCAGGCCTATCCCCATTAGTGACGTTCACCAGAGATGAGGAAATCACTTCCCATTCCATCTCTGCTTTCTGATAAAACTCACCAAACAATTGCGACTTACAGGCCCAATTCGTCGTCTTTACTACTAGCATCTTTGTCCCAAACCTCAATGATCACCGACTGACCCATTCTTTGATCAACAATTGCCTGAAATGTCAAATGTGTAGAGAAATAGATCTACCATGAAGAAAAGTATGGATTCATAGAACGGTAAATATGCAACAAACGCTCAATTCGACTAAGATGTCTTTTATAACAACCCTACATATTCAAACAGCAACTTTTAGTCAACACCAAACTAAGTAAGCTCGTGCAATTCTTTTAAAAACTAAATAACTACAGAAAGCTTCTTTGAGTATACCTCATATATTGGTGATAATCATCGTTACAATTTACTAATATTTCTGACCAAGACAAGCCTGTTAATTTTACTTTTAGAAAGTGTCATATCTCTAGAAGCACATAGCCCAGCCCTACTTATTTCCGTTTCCATGTTACGTTTATTTCGTAACTGCCTATTCTATTCTGCGGTTGTCTGATGCTAAGAAAAGGAGGAATACCCGAGGAATGCAAAGAGTTGGGTGAGGCAGTATCTACCCCCATTCTAAAGCTAAAATCTTAAGGATCAATTTTACGCTATGGGACTTTGCGCTACCCCATGACAATAAGAAGAGGAATAGGTTAACTGGTCCTTCCAGTTTCTCAAGTTCTTACATAGGCCTTAGTAGTAGAGAACGGGTGGATCCCGACTATAATTACCGCTTGAACCTTGGCAAGTGAGAAAACCCGTGAAAAATTTCGTCTGTGGTTCACTGCATAAGTCCCAACAAGTTATTGGGGAAAGTTGTACCGAAAACCTCAAAAACTTATTTGATAACCTGAGATACCCATAACCGCAAAAAATGTTTTCCCATTTGCCTGAAAACAGAGCTCTGATTTTCCGATACATATAAGGAGTAGAAATACTAAGGTCTTTACCCAAAATTCCCACAATCTCGACATAATTTTTGGGTGATTGAAATAAATCGAGGTTGACGGGAGATAAGTGCAGCTTTGAAAAGCAGTAACAACTGATTATCACAGGAAATGAGTATGTACAATTTACGCACAGGGTAGTGCTTGAAGACCACTTAAAAAGTAACGTAAGTTAACGCACACACCCACCTCGAAGCATTCATTCCACGTTGGACTAAGCGTCCGACTTATTACTTTTGTGACAAACTTTTCTGCTCCGACTGAAACAAAAATTGTAGCCATCATTATCAGGAGTCTGCTGTAAAAGTAATACAAGTAGCTAGCACAAATAGACATAACTATTCAGAAGGGCTTGGGAATGGCTCTGATTCGTTCGCCACAGTAAACTAACACGTGATTATCGTAACCATTATGAAGGTCTGGCCGGAGAGCAAGTTTATGTAAAAATTACGTTTGTCCATGAAAAGCAGTTTAACTTGCATTCGTATTTTATGTTCTTCAAAAAGTAGAGGCAAATCAGACAAGAGAAAATAAAAGAAGCGTAAGGGTCCCATGTATCGCCCTATGGTAGAGGGCAAGAACGCACCGCGTTAGAAAAAGCAGCAGGTGCGATCGAGGTAAAAATGGAATTTATTATCAATAAGACTGCGCCAAGTTGGGAAAATAAAGGTGTAATAATGTGGTTAATAGTACTGTAGCTTAGTTCGAACTCCTCTTAGCTAAAACGAGCAAATAACATCACACAACCACAAAATTTTGTTTCGAGGCAATTGGACCTCAGCTGAACAGGGGAATAACATTTGACTTTCTCAGTGATCCTCACGCGTCCATTGTTGAAGTGACTCAATTAAGTTCATAAAATACTTTGAGCTACTAAAAGCAATGGTGACAACGTAATTTCCCTTCTGCGGTTATTTTTCCATTAACAGAATATTTTCTAAAATGCAATAAGTATCAGAGCAATCTTTTAAATGAAAACATTCAAATAACTGCTATGTCCTGAAATAGAAAAAAGGTCGGCGAGCTGAAGGGTCCATGGTACAAATTAAGGCGTGTCGTGATTGCTGGAGGGATGGGACACGATGTCAAGTCCGTCATACAATGCCTTCAGGCTTGAGTGGGTGCCAGATAGACCACTTAGACAGGGAGTTTAAAAGCACCTCACTACCAGCACTCCTCGTCACTCATTTCTGACCTGAATTGCTGAAATAAACTAAAAGCTTACGGCTGCAGAAAGCATTGAAGCATCTTAACTATACAATCACTTTTCAGTGTCACAGGTTCTGCCGCTCCCATGAAGTTAAGGCACAGTACAGTACTGACTCATCAAGACGAAACTAGTTACCTCGAACAACGCAGTAGGGATCAGAAGACGATTGCCCAACAAGATTTACATCGGCAGATACAAGGTCGCTAGCAGAGATGACCTCAACGCGAATAGCTCCCTAAAATAAAAGCAACACCCTAATAGGTGGTGTGGTTTATTCAAGCCCTAATTGTAAAATTTATATGAGATGCAATGTATGAAATTGGTTTCTTATAAAGAGAGACAAGGAGATGGGGTCCAATGAGATAGCTCATGCATGGTCTCTGAGACAACTTGTAAATATTATGGACTTTAACGCGTTCTTAGTGGATAATATATTTTAAATTATTTATCATGATGAAGAAATTTTGTTACAAGTCTACTAATATTGAGGCGATCGATAACAAAAAACGTGTATGAAACCTTCTTATCAAGTTCAAGCAGCTGCGTATCAATAGCATTCGTAATTCCATCAAGCTTTATTTTCCTAGTGAGTCTTGGTACAAGCCATATTAAATCATTTAACAAAATAATCTAAGGCGACATGACAGAAAGAGGAGATTTAGCATACCAAGGTCTGGGAAAATACGACTGTGCATCAAAGGCAAAAATAAGAAAACTGTCGAGGAAAGGATATGTATTTCTCACATATACTAATACTCAAATTCATAAAATTTAACAGCTCTTCACGGAATTAAACAGAGAAAAGACAATTTTAGGCGTATCTTCGGGGTTAGCATATCACAGAGATCGCCTCAACAGTGGAAACGTCCACTTCAACACCAAGCCCTTATTTGGTATCGATGTAAATATCAAGTATGCGATATGATGATGTTGACTTTGCACCAAGAGAAGTCATAAATATTAATATATAGAAATATAACATAAATACAGGAAGGTGAAGTCTAAAATACAATTACAGCATATAAATATGATCCTGAAAATTTGCTAAAAATATGCATTATTTTGGCTATTAGTGTTTTCTACACCAAAAGGAAAGCAGAACACTTCCTGCTAAGAGGTCTAAATCGAAGTCGTTGTTAGGATTATATGGATGAATTAGAAAATGATTTGCTTGATGTTCTGGAACTCTTACCTACGCGATGTCACATTTGATAAATTTTCTGTGGCAAAGGAACTATGGCAAAATGAGACAAGCGTATGACATCAGATTATCATCCCAAATTTAGTTTAACCAAAAGAAATTTTAGCAAATAAAAAATGTTGTTAGTTCTAATAATATACGATTTTGCTGGAAATTTACCCTTTTGACCACGAAAATCGCTAAGAACAAAGGCATTGCATTAAATTGTGGAAAAATGAATTATCCGCTGTCCAGTGGTACATTAAATCACGAACTAACCTGGGCTGAAGGGAATCTAATTTGCTCCAGAATGACATTGTTTACGAGAGGAACCGAAATCCGATTCGGAAGAACGCAAAGCGAACTAACAGTATCCTGAACTGTTCGATATAGAGTTTGTCTTAGAGCAAATAAAAAATTTTAAAATAACGACGAAAGCTATGATTTTGAAGGATAAAAGCAGTAAATGTACTGGACTCCAGGCATTGTCAAAATGTTTCCCATGTGCGTAAGGAGAAAGTTAATGTACTATCCAGACGTCGAATTAATCATAATCGATTACCGGATTATCGAGGAAACACACAGTTACTGCCCCAACGAAGGGAATTTGTGAAACAAGTGGTTTTAGCGAAATTCGAAGCGTCCCACGAAGCTATCAAAAAAGGAAAGGCTGCTGGAATTCAACGAAGCTTAGAAACAACGACAATCCAGTATCAAAGATAGAGAATATGGACGTATAACTTATTGTCACATCGTACCTCAAAATCCTTAACACCAGCAACGATCTTGCCCACGGAAACCTTGATTCTAGCGTCGCTATATAACCTGGAACAGTAGGCTTTGGTAAATTCTGTTTACATCAAGTCGACGTCCATAACGACCTCATCCCGCTGAATACTTTCCTCTACATAAACTTTTATACCACCAATACGAGGGGGCTAAACTTTTATTAAGAAAATTAACAAATCAAACCGCGTCCCCAAGATCAGTGCGCAGAAATAAAAAGGGCTGTAGGGAAGAGGGGAGGTTAGCATTCACAGCCGGTTGCACGGTCACAACTAAAACTTTATTGACATATTCACTTATGTATGGCCACATCCGTTGAACAACCTAAGGCGTGATACAATCCTGTCACTTTACTTTGTTAAGCCACTCAGCGCGCTCAATATCCGGAAAGTAAACCTAACGTTCAAAAGCAAATAGAAGCATACCCAGGCAGGTAACTCATGGGAACCAATATTCTTGATGACTGATGCCTTTTCATCTTCAGTTATGGTCCTCATAACAGAACTCACAAGGTTCCGCTTTTCATATGCACGTGAATAGGCCATATAGCCGATAGCCCCAAAGGCCACCCAACTGGGACTGAACTTGTAGTAGCCGAGTCCCCATATAGCAACCCAACAGCTAATTAGTTTGATATATGTCCGCGCTGTTGACAGAATATCAAACTTGACACCAGTTTTCTCATTTTGGGGCTTATCAAGGCTTTTATCCATGAATGGCTCACGTCACTAAACAGCAAAATAAGCTCCCACCAAATCAATCTACGCGGTACAATGAAAATGGGAATTCGTTGCTAATTTAGGGGCACTTAAAAAAGCAAATAAAGATTTAAAATATGTTTTGGACCGCATTTTGGCCACAGAAGAATCATGCAAATTTTAAAATAGGGTTTTGCTTTTGGTCCACGGAGTTGGGTAGTTTTGTCTCCCAACAAATCTTGGACTCAAAAGAGGGGAATGGGAACACCAAATGGAAATGTACGTTACTGCTAACAAAATTCACCCCTTCTTAAAAATAACATGGGGCTGATTGTGCTTGGGTAGAAAATATTCAACCTTACGCATAATTTACTTGAAATTATGGTAAAAGCTTAATGATTTTACTGCTTGAGCTCCTGCAATACTTACGTTGTTTGGATGTCCCACGCCTTTTAAAAATGCCCCTTTCATCGAAGCGATCTACTAGCAGATTAGATTACATAAAGCTGATAGATGGAAATAAATGCACAAGCTATAAATTTCTATAGATTCCTTGAAGGTAAATCAATCAGATTTTCTCCGGTGCACCCTACTTAATTGAGCGAAACGAAGTCGTATTCGATATTTACAAGCATGTGTTTGGTTTCTACTTGTTAGTTACCTATAGTTGCCTGTTCCGGCTATTGCCTGTTCAAAATATACACGTAACAAGACACAAATGAGACATTGTGGTACATATTTATGCGCATTTATGAAGGCGCTCACGTCGTTCCGGCACTAGGTTACTAAGCTTAACTAAACTTGATTTCCGAATAGGATTCTGCACCATTCTATTTCATTGCCTTGGATTGCGCACATACATACAAATCTTGTTTCATTATGGTCCTTATGAATTAGCATAAGTAAAGAGATCCTCCCTTGGCTTTAGCACTATGAAATTGAGTTGATAATAAGTTCCCCTGAACCCACTGTATTGGCAGTTTGTATTGGTGTTGCTAAGTAGTAGTACTCACTTCGGTACTGCATAGTTATTCAGTTTCTTTAAATAATTGCACCTTTGTTAAGACAAAAGGCAGGTGTTTGGGCCTATTTATGCTAAAGTTTTCACATTTATAGACTTATTGCGACATTATCTTTCCTTGCGAAGATTTTCCGCCTCACTTGCCAAACACCACTCGACAAAGTGGTTTTCATCGGTGCAGCACTTATCCCGACCATTTGTTTAGTGGTAAAGCGTTGCTATTATTGACTGTTTATGTTTTCGAAAATCCAATGATAAAACGACAAAATATGGTTTAAGATGTTCCGGTTATTCCTTCGGAATAACTGATAATGCGAATGGAATGCCAATGGGTACACAGATTTTAATCTGTGTGACATAAGAAGTGGTATTGTTTTACTCCTTGGAAATTGTTTCTCGCTTTACCTCGTATTAGTCAACCCTTAGAGGTATGCTTCCCCACTTAGACCTTAACACCTGGTTATCAGAATAACATGAATGGTCCTTCTACAACACTTTATTTTTATTTGAACCCGATAGTGCATGCGCGATATCAAAAGTTACATACAAATATGAAGTATCTTAAGGTCACATGTACCCATCTGTTTGCAGGTTTCTGATATGTGCCATTCGTCGTAATCTATCTATAGCATAACGATCCTCAATCTCCGGCCGTTGGGAGCTTTTACGCGTTTTCTTCTAAAAGGATAAAACCAAAAGCTCTATGACTTTTAAGTCCAATTATTTTCACTGTTTCAACGTGGACAATTTAACAATTTTTATCCCATTTTCATTTGTGATTTTGTGTCAGGTTCCACTCTGTGGTCGTTATTGCGTCAGCGAAGTGGCTAACCTTTTGTGCACTATGGTGTCGTAAATATAGAAACTGAATTATTGTGTATTTACAACGGCTCCTGGTCTTTATACAACAATACCAACTACCTAAATTTACAATTGTATTCTAAAATGACATGAATATTTTGACTAGAGTTTACAAGGGCGAGTCATGAACCTAACCCCGCATAAGGACTTCATTTGTGCACTTGCATGGGTTGTTCACCATGACAATCGTTACTAGGTTCTAACCAAGCCTGGAGGCCCTGCGCGAAACGGTGATTCACATGGCGTCACCGTGGTATAATTGTGTGTGCACTTGAAGTGCTCCGTGGGTATTGCCTGTCTCCGAATGAAACAAGCATATTTTTTCGTGATCACCCCTTCGTATGTGTGCACGTTTAAGTTCAGTTTCACAGAAAAATGCTTTTACTCTGCGTACATAAACGATGATATTGGGTAGGTTATGAGGTTCCCTCATTTACGCACGAGTATGAATCCACCTTTGTCATAAAGGCACGTTAAATTTGGTTAATATGTATTCGTGTGTTTAGTAGTGGAGACAAAGTTAATACATGTGGCTTGTGATTGATCGCTCCAAGCACTCACTTTAAGCTCTTCGGATTTGGAGCAAAAAGTGGAAGCTCTTGCTAACATATAACTGAATTGAGCAATCCCATGTACTCTGGAATGCTAAAACTTTAGATTCCCTCATCAAGTTCTCCCACACATGGAGGATAATTGGATCATCCAAGACAAATGCACGGGAATGCGTACTATGGCGGGAATGCTTGCTGAAAACGGAATCCTAGAGCACCATATTGCTGCCCTTGATAGTATCGCTTTGCCATTACTACCCAGTTCAATCATCCTCAACCATTTCCAAAGCATGAATTGAGCATTCGCACTTACGATTTGGTATTAACGCCTTGATTCGGCAATTGTAATGGAGAATTCGTACAAAATTTTGTTTTCTAATAAAAGCGTTTAGCAGGTAACCATAATAATTAGAAATTAGGGCTTGAGAGTGAAGCGACAACGAAGTTTTTCTTAAGGTTTAGTCAAACCAAAGTGAAACTTGTCGTTTGATATGACCTCAACACGGCTGATTCACGTGGTTTGTGTTATTTTCTTAAACTTTTACCTACTAGCCATCGAAGCTGAACCTACCACTCTTTTGTAAATAAAACAAATTCCTTTATGTTACAAATCAAAGTAGTATGAAGAGAATTACAAAAGCGCTTTCAGATCTCTATGCTAATCGATTTGCAAGCAAATTGTAATGCTTCATGTCACGCATTCGTCCGGACACACACTTTGATTTGAATGCATTGACAGTTGATTAACGTCACATGACCCATTTAAGCTGTCCTTCAAAGTGTCTTAGACCTGCTCCGAGGTGAAAGCAATTAACAATCATTGTGATTGACAGTACGCCAGGTGTTGGTTGAGTCAGTTTGTGTGGGAACTCAAGTGACAGTATTTGGGGCATGAGGGACTTCGCATAGCTGGTTCTACGCTTTAAACTGTAAGGCCTTACCATTAGCGTTGACCTCGCGTACTTGCCTTTCCATTGGCATACACAATAGCACCTCAAAAATTTTTCGGATAGGGTATTCAACTATTTTTGGATTAAGGCCCACAATGAGGTAACAGATAAACGGATTTGAGAATTCATTGTCTTTTCCTCCCTCAGGGGATGCAATTTTTACTCTTCTCATGCGCACTTTTTGTTTGAGTTAGAGGCGCGTATTCAGTGACGCAAAGCGCAGTCTTGGTGGCATTGTGAATTCAACATTTAGTGGCATTTTAATTTTACACGACAGATGTCAAGCAGCGAAACATGTAGGTCGGATAAAAAAGCTACTTGTACTTGGATTTATCATGAACTGAATGTGCTAATGCTGCGTGGCTGAATGGTGAATAAAAGTGGCCTCAATAAAGTGGAAACGTAGCTCTATTGTGCACGTCGGAATCAGCTATTGAAAAGCGACTGGCTTACGTTTCGTGATTGAGACTTTCATGTGAAAGGTAAAAAAAGTAGATTCAATTAAACGCTTTTTAGTTGGTTTGTCTCAAACCCGAATGAAGGCAATTGTGGTAGTGCTTAAAACACCTTAGCGTAATTTGGCTTTTTAAGTAAATGACACAAAAAGGCCAAATTTCCGCTAACTGTATGCATAAGCAAATTGAGGAGCCGAACCTTAATATAATCCCGTCACAGTGATAAATGGATAACTGGAGTCTCACAGCATTAATGGCAAAGTGGAATACCTAATTATTTTTCGTTTACGAATATTCTCAGAGAGTTAATGTGGCAGTAAGCCTTAGAAACAGACTTTCAGGTCGAAACTGAAAAAGTGTTTCTGTTTGTGTATAACGATAAATAAATCCACATAAAACTCATTTCCGCCAACACAAGGTCGTGTTTTCAAGAATGAATTATTTTTTACAAATGATAAAAATGTAGAATTCTGACTGATTGATCTTCTCCTTCCTCCTTCAAGCCCAACGGGCCTTGTGGATGTGAATTAATAACATTTCGTGGTGTTACAAGATAATTTCTATGTGCATGTCACTCCAAGAATAGCCTAAAATGAAGCTTTATTTACAGATTGAGGAGCTCAACTCGATCTGATTGTTAAAAGGGCTGAGTCCCGATGCAGTGGAGTTGTAGCGATGAAAGGAGAACAGTTTCGACATCCACCGTGCACAATCCCATGTATTATTCGTTTATTGTGCATTATGATCAAAATGTGGAAAAGAAAAAAATGCTTGATTATGGCACACTTTGGGTCATGATAAAAAGACTTAGTACTATCTTATATTTGAAGCTTATCACATTAGGCAATCTTGCCACGACTTTCCGCTACTTTACAATTTTTGATATCTAAAACAAATCCCAAATTTATTGGGAAATCCTGTATAGTCAATCAACTTGCTATAAACTAAAAACAACCCATTATAACTAACGTTACTTAAGTAAAGTTCCATGTGGGTTGACCGCGTTAAACAAGCATGATTGATAACGGTACGCGTAAATAATGGACTATCTACATTCTCAATCAAATAAAGCACGATAGAGGGCAGAATATGGAGTGGCAGATTTTGTTACTTCAAATCAAATTCTATATGAATTAGTCAAGTGTTGGTTTCCCTTGAGACGATTTCAGGTTTGATTCAAGGATCTTATTTGCAACGCTCACCAGAAATATCTGCTGACTCACACCCCCATTATTATAGGACGTTGGGGCTTCTTGATGGGAAATTTGAGAATCGCACAGATATGCCGGAACTGTATGAGAGCTTAGCACGGCACTCATCGACGGTTTTCCAGTATTTGATTGGTTATTCCACACCTTGTTATGGAAATTACTTTTATTAAGTGCGAATTCGTCATCAGCACAGTCCATCAATAATATCGAGATTGACGATGAGGCAGGTCGGCTTAAGAATAGTGGCTGCTGTCATTTTAAAAATCAGATCGTTCATTTGAAATCATCGAGATCATATTGATGAGAGTTTGAAAATAGTTGCAGCAAAACAACTTCAGGCTTATTGAGCTGATGAACTTTCCTAGGCTTGAGGTGATTAAGCATTTGGTTCATTTTAATTTCGCATTGGGACCACTTCTAAGCAGGATAGTCTTTCAAATTTATGAATCATCCCGTTGATTCTTGGTAATACTACAAGTAGTAACATTTCTTAAGCAGATTTATACTGTCTGAAAATGAAAATTATTCTAACAAAAAATGGAACTAACTCAACCCACCATAGCTATTCCGGCTTCTAATATTTTGAAAGAATGGCTAAGATCAGGCGCCTTGTATGGTGCGTAGCAAATATTCTAAAATAAGCATGGAAGGCACCTCGGTTGACCATGTGGCTATATTTATGGTCGTCTTATAAGGATACAGGAATCCCAAATGCACTCAGCAGAAATGAATTTTGAACATGTAAAATTAAAATTTGTCGGTCCTGGCATAGGACTAAAGTTTAAACTAGCGCACAATGCAAAAGAGACGATAAGTTATCAATGAAAGACACTAAATTCTGCCATAAAATAACAAAAAAACTATTCAAAATATGTCTGTTTCAAAGGACATAGTGCCTCTTTTTATGGATATTCAATCCACCATCCACTCGATTATTGAGCGAGATTTTAGGTATGCTAGAAGAATCGCTCACTCGTAACTGCCCTCTGTGCATTCTCGTAGATACAGGTGACGCCATGTACTGCATTTGTCCGTAGGCACCAAACGGTTTCACGCCCTCTCCCATGCCTCCTCGCATCGGGTAGTCGTAGTACAGCGCGCTGTTTCTCTTAAACATGCTCACGTGGCTGTCCAGGATTGTGTCAAGGTACTGGACGAAGTAGTCTTGCTCGTGCGTGTTGCTGAAGGAGAAGAATCGATATCCAGCCAGGAAGTGGTCGGTCTCACAATGTCTTACTGCTACTGTGTGGGCGGCGTTGTTCAATGCAATATATCCATTTATGACGGCTGCAGGGAAGGCCCGTGACTTGGCGGTTGTCACTACAAAACCGCAGATGTCCCCATGTATAGTGCAATTTACGCGCGGCTTCATTTGAACTCTTCGGGCTAGGTAATCAGGGATATCATTTTGGTCAAGTGGTTGATGTCGGATGCTACAAAAACCACAGTAGAAAGCATGTAATACATATATATCGGTATCCATGTTCGACCTCACGAAATACTCATAATAAATCTGATGAGGGTACAGCAAGGCTTGCAAAGTAGACCTGTGAGTGATTCGCACTCCGATTGGTTAACCGAGCTCTAACAAATAGGCGTCCACCCACCTACAAATGGCATCAACCGCCTTTGGCAGGGTAATCACATTTTGGAAAATCCACTGTGCTGTCGGATTCCACTCGTAACCTTCTACGCTGCCGAACGTACAGTTCCTTGAGTTCATGGCCGATGGAGGAACCAGCTTATGGGTGGAGCTGCACGCATCACGAGATCGCCTTACAGCTAGAGCAATTTGTTTTATTAGTAACCCACTTGATAAAGGTATTTTTTATCCCTGAGATGGCTGTCATTTTAGCTTGATTATGATTTGGTTTACAATATGTTTCGTACAGGAGGCATTTTGAGTTGCGATTAGGTGACGTTTCCTGTGAGGTTTAATGTTATCGGCTTCAAACGGGAATCCACTTTTGAAAAGGACATGAGGTTTTCTGTCTCAAAGATAAAGTTATTCAAACGGTTCAATACAACCTATAAATCTAATAGGAAATGTTTCCAGTAAAAGCGCCACCAACTTTACTCTAATACTGAAAGTTGATGGTCAAACACCACAGCGAAACTATTCTCCTTATTGATGAAATTGTTAATTCAAATCACCTCCACTCATATAGCAATATTGGGAATTAATGGTCTATTTTCTGAGCAAATAATTATCTTTCTTATATAATTTTAATAAAGAATCTTAATTTGAGGCTCAAAATTCCCACCTCCCCCCCCAAAACTTTTACAAGTTGGGAACCCTACATCTGTTTTTACGCCATTATCGCCGTCCCTACATAAATGAAGATCTGTGATCAGATCAGAGAGCAGGTTAAGGTATGCGCCAAATTTAGGAAGTATGGATCGACCTCTTCAATTTGAAACTTCGTGCTTCAAAACGGCGTTTTAAAAGTAACGCTTAATGCTATCCAAAATTATGTGTGATAGTGTTTCGAACAAACACTTTAGCTGTAGTCATTTAAGGTGCAACGAGGTAGTAGGCTCTATCTCGAATCTATAATGCCTGCGTCAAATTCAATCAAATATGGTATTCAGCATTGATTTCACATACTTCTGAGTTTCCCATTCCCGTCTACATGTGATTGAGGCTCCAAAACACAACCAGTTTGTTTTTACGTTTCGCGGGTCTTGCACTTCACAGAAGTCATTTAATTGAATCAGTATTTCCTTAAATCATGTGTCTTCTGTTTCCCATCCGGTTTTACTAATACCAGAGTTATGTAATTTAAGGAACTGTGGGGAAAATGCATCGTTCAGTCACAATTTCCTACTATAGATTTGCTTATTTTTCCAGCGTTACCTTTCGCTTCCCCGTCGCGTAATGAAATTTAATGACTAGCGCTGCCGCTTCATATGGACCCGATAGGGTCGACTGATGCTGCTACGACAAGTGATTCCACCATGCAGCGGAATCGGTCTCTCAAAACAATCAATTCGCGTATTAAATATTACAAGACAATGTTATTTAAGGGGGAACCTATGCAAAAGATGCGATTGAGTTTAATTAACTTATTTGAAAAGTGGGCATTTATGGGCTCTTTTCAATAATTTATTTGATTCTTTTACTTTGCAAAGACATTTCAGAAAATTTAAGTAACACAAAAATTTATAAACCGTGTAACTACAGACAAGAAATATAAAATAGTGCAAATTAATACATAGAGTCGCAAATGTTGCTTCTCCTCACTTTATGTCCTGTTTAAATGGAGCGGAAATCACACTGCCAATCCCATTAAAACAGTGCGAATATTTTCGCCAGTAATCTTTAAGGTGTTCCTAGTACGAAATACCTCATTCATTCTTATTGGTTTTGTCGCCACTTAACTTCCGAATGCATGCTTCTTCAAGTGAGTCTTGCTAGAATAAATACGCCTACCACCTGCCCTCCCGCATATTCGTGGCAAAATGACTTCTGAGCCTCCAGTCTCACCTCGTATAATTATTATGCCCGTTGATGACAGTCCTCACTGTGAACGAGCCTTCAATTGGTACCTCAAGCGAGCACACAGACCTGAAGACAAACTCATCCTCGTTCACGTCATCCAACCGCGCTACGTCTCTCCCCCCGGTGGAATTGTCATTGAACACGCCGTTACAAACAAATCCTCGTCCACGAACGAAAGAATAGAAGTGGGGAAACAAGTACTAGACAAGTATGCACAGAAGTGCAAGAAAGCAAACTTCATTTACGAAACCACATTGAAAGCAGATGCGGATCCAGGCAAAGCAATAATTCAAGTTGGAGATGATTACTTCGCCAACCTCATTGTGATCGCCTCCAGGGGAATGAGTAAGGCGAGGAGGACCATCTTGGGTAGCGCCAGCCACTATGTTGTTTATCATTCCGGCATACCTGTTCTAGTAGTGCCCCCCGCGAAGAGAAGTTCCGCCTCATTTGAGGCAGAAGTAGAGCAAGCAAAAAAAGACTAATGTTTAATCCTATTTTTGGCATTCTATCTTTAATAAAATGACGCTCATCCCTATTCTTCTCTTTGCCCTAGAGTCACCTTCCTTGCATCTAAGTTCGCTGCTAATCAATTTAGCTAACAAGTTACTGTGTTTGGGGGCTAGCTGAGGACACTGGGTATGGGTTCTTATCAAGTGTTGAATAATTTCATCCCTATATTTTAAATATCATGAGGTCTTTCATAAGTCGATGGGCGTGGCCTTCCTTGAGGTATTCAGGGAACGTGGGTGCTAGTGCACGTGTGAAGGGCACGTGCACCCATAATAATTGCCAAAATTCTAGATAACTTTTAAGTGGTTTTACCGCCATATATGATTCGTTCGGATTAATTCTAATAGAGAATTTCAGAGTGTAGGTGTGTAGATACAAATGAAAACTGCGTATTTTATTTAGAATGGGATTTCAAACTGAGATATTCAAACCATTGAAAGAGTCTTAGTGAATGAGCTCCAGTTGCTTGCTATTAAAATAACTCCTCTCTCATCTGCAATTCATTTATGTTCTAACTAGTTGTATCTGAATCTGTGGTAACTCAGGAATCCATTACTTCAGTATAACTTTAAAGATCTGGAACTGAGAAACACATGAGAAAATGGCTGGCGGGTCCCACTGCATAGAATGCGCGCATTTCTGGAGTTAGTATGTAATGTTTGGAGAACAAATGTTTTCACCTTAATATAAAATTATCCATAAAATGGTTTTCATTTCCACTTAAAATAAACGCTTACTTTTAATGCTAAAGAATGCTCCCGATGATTATCACATTTTGGTAAAAATGTGGAAAACGAAAGTTCTGTAGCAAATATCTCTGTAGTGGGGTGAGTAAACGACTGTAAGAGAAGGCAAAGCCTGCTAATAAAAACTGTTATTTGAGAGGTATTGGTAGGCCTTCAGCCGACAACCACGCAGGTGTCCAAACTTCTACAGCCATGGTCACGACAAACACGCATGTGCGCTCGTGCCACCGCTCGGTCGGCAAGCGTGTGCTCCAGGAGCCAATATTGTGGTTCATTCAAGCACCACGTCTTGCAAACATGAATCCTGAAAAAAAGTTTGGGGCTACGTGGTCACATAACCAATAACCACTTTTGGTTTGACTTTTACGTTGAAAATACCAAAATCTGCTTCAGGGGTCTTTCAGTCCTGCACGACCGCCTTAAATTAGTGTTCTGTCTAAAAAAGAAATGCATGTTTTGGAAAAACATCACATTTGCCTTCCAGCAAGTTGCAAACCAGCCTCCAATATTTCATTGTAATTATACGAAGATCTTAAAAAAGTTAGACCCTTCATACTCCAGCAACATAATTCACACTTAACCGGGTAAGCGCTTGAGCTTGTGAAGGGCTTCAAGCATGATTATAGAGAATTTGGCATTCTCATCGTTTTGCCTGTGAAAGACGTAAGTAAACTGACGGGTTGAATAAAATTTGTGGCACTCGGGTGTGTACCTTACAACTCTACCTCCTAATAAACTATTGGGTAAGTGAAGTTTTTAACTAGTATGAGTCTAAAATTTTCAGCGGTTGAGTTTTTAGCACTCGCCTTCAGTTGGTGATGTATATCAATTCTCAAGCCTGATTTTGGCGCTTATATACTGCTTCTACACGTTGTTACTGAGTTTAGTATTCTAAAGAGTATGACGAGGTATTGTTCTTGTCATGATCTTCAGCTTTGGAGTAAATTAGCTCCTCGGCGTACCAAGAGGAATCCAATTTACCTTTTATTTGTAAGCAATTGGCTTTTTAATTAGATTCAATTTTTATCCTAGTAAGTTGCTCCGATATGTTGAAGAGTACAGGCTTTAAACAAAACAGCCAAAAAAATGATCTATGGAAAATACTTGGAGGTACACTATTGGTCTCTAAATCCCAAAAGCAAAAAAAAACTACGAAATGCTCTTGTCTTGGAGCCTTGAAAAAATACTGTCCATAAGGAAAGGTCAGCAAATGAAAAGGAAACCTTGTCCTCCTACATAATCGCCGAATAAGGCAATTACTGAGGCGTGTTGAAAAATCGGTAAGATAAGTTAATGTGCCAAAAAGGATTCACTTCTAATCATCAATGAACATCACAGTTATTTACAGTGAATGAAAACCACTGCGGTTAAGCCGATTATTTCATCGTCTAAAGGGAGCAGTCCACCCATTGTTCGGCCTGGGACGACGATGTGCCGCCGCAGGCGTTTCAGCCGCGCCTCCGGCTCGAGACACGTGCGGTCTTTCCGTGTGCAGAAAGGTACGACTTCTCTAGTGCCATGACAGCTGCAATACAGTTCCTGGTCTGACGACAGTACTATGGCGTGTGGTCTAGTGGACTGATTTATCATAGCATATTCTCCTAAATATTTCTGGTTAAGATTCGATATCCTCGACACGAGGGTTACCAGTGGCAAGTCCTAAAACAAATGGCGCATCTATATTAGGGTAACGTTTTACAATAACATTTCACATTTATTAATAAACACATCACTGCATTTAATGGGCTGAATTTGCAATCCACATCAAATCGCCAATCAAACAGATGCTGTACTATTCCATTTAACAAAGAAAAATTGGAGCATTTTGGGAATTTAATTTTATTATTGACGCATTCAATTCGCTTATTTTAATTGGAATTGTGATAAGAGATGGAATATTGACCGTAGTTTCGCCAAAATGATACGAGGAATTGCCCTTCTGGAAAGCTCAAAAGTACACAAGTCGGGCGCAAGGATTGGGATCCCCATTAGCATGGGCATCATGGGTGCAACCTCTCCACGATTAAGAAGTACGCAGACTCTGTAAAGGCCCGTAACTCAGAAGCGGTAACTTATCAAGTTAGAACCTAATCCAATCTACATGACATTACCCTGTCACGTGACTCAGACAGTAAAGGATTTTACTCGAAGGGAGTGTTTCACTGCCACCGCAATTGCTAAACTGGGGAACGGTGATTTAACATTATACCTTTTTTGAGACGGTGTGTCATTATATCATTAATCCACTCCCAAGCGTTCACCATTTGCACGAAAATGTGCAATTTCAATGCTTATTCCCTTCCTAAGAACTAATATCTTCCATGTCATTAACCGCTTTGTAGACCAAGTTTTCAGCGGTCGTTTAGAGATGAACCTCGATTGGGACTTATGAATGTAATTCAGAGAGAAAGAATGTGTTTGGTCGATAAAGTTAGCATAATCTAGAAGTAACGGGTGGAAATTCAGTAAAACTCATTGTTATGCTAAAAAAATATATGTTAGAGGCTTTCGCAAAGTGGAAAATTGTTAATTTTGAACTTGAATGCCTATTGCACACAAGAGCCTAGATGAACCAAAGTCAAGAAAAATATGCAACAAGTATTGAAAGATATTAAGTCAAAAGCATAAGGAGAGTTATGCGTAAGCATGGAAGCTCAATAGCGAAGAGTTTATAGAAGTTGAAAATAATCTACACGGTTAGAAAATGCCATCAATGCGGTCGTTTAGCATGTAATTTTGGAACTCATGCACTTTTATCATAAAGGACGGATTCGAAGTATCACCACAACTTTATCGGTGTATGCATTCGCATTAAATAGGGTTGCATGGTCCGGGAGGAGCTTCATCGTAGCATTGTGAATTATTCCATTTGTCGCCTACCAGGTATGCATTCACATATGGTGCTCCTTGTCAGACTGAGACAAGAAGGCACAAAGTGCATAATTTTTTGTGCAGAAAAATGAAGTTTTGCAAACCCTGTGAACAAATCACGGCTTAGCTCAATGCTAAGTTGGGCTTAAACATTATTTAGAGAATCACATCATTACTTCTACTTATGCCTTTAAAGTAATTCCGGATAGAAAAACGCACGTTGGCTTTAAAATGCGGGGTTGATCGCTCCACTTTGGGAGTTCCTCCATTTAATTAAGCTATCTAAATCTTAAACTCTTCCGGTACGAATAACATATGGCATCTTTAAAGCCTTTGTGATAAATGCTTTTTCGGTAATGGCTGCCACCGTAATAAGATGGAGTTCAAATTAAACGAGTAACCAACATCCCCCACCTCAAAGCCACCATTTTCTCGATTTTTGCAGCTGCTACTGTTGATGGAGGGTGGAATTAACGCGTTTCTTGACGATGGTACCGATTTGTATTTACAAGTTGGGGAATTAAATGTACGCAGTTTCCGGAAATTCTCGTGCAATTCATGGGGAGTTTGGAATAGACTATAAAGTTTGAAGCTGTGCATTGATGGTACGCCAATTCAGTCATGCAGTGGTTCGCTTCTCTGTGATTCTCGCTGATGAGATTTAATGATCAGCTTTGCTTTAACGAAACTATAGAAATACGGGTTCCTTTTCAATTCATGCAGAAATGTTTTAAGAATAATACTCAGCAGAGTTTCGGCTTATTGTGGTGATGTAATGTATGGACAGAAGCTATGTACTTATAAAAGTATCATTAGTGCAGGAAACTGCATCGATAAATTCATGCTAAGGTGTTTTACGTTCATCATAATCTGCTATATTTATTACTGACGCCTCTATTGGTCATAAAGTGCAGTGTTGTGCAATGCGCACTGCTCAGTATTGTCTTATGAAACTAAATTCTCGAGCTAACTAAACAAGATACTACAATTATGGGCTCCAAAAATTTTGTACAATTGTTTAAGTCGGCAACATAGCCCGAAGAACCAATAAGGTACGAGCTCCTGTCTGAGTGGCCTGTGCAGGATCTACAGAGAGGCGGGTGCCGGCTTTCCCATCTACCCCTGTGGTGTGGTACAGGATGGATTCACCACGGTTTAGCGTGAAGAAGTTTATCGGCAAAGGATGCTACTCGATGGTGTATGAAGTAGCTTCTGCAAGAGGAAACGACAAAAATGAACTATATGCATTTAAAAGAATTTTCCTTCAGAATCCATCAGCTGTTATTTGTGCAATTCGGGAACATCACATTCTCATTCGTCTCGCTCTGAAAGATTACCAATCACCTTTTCTGCCTACCCTTTTCTGTAGTTTTCGAATCCATGGATCTCCGGTCTTTGTGCTCCGTAGAGGGAGTGGCTTCGACCTCTTTGACCTCCTGTCCAGATATGGCCGCTTGAGCGAAAGTGATGCTAGATTTTACACTTCTGAAATTATCTGTGGTTTAGAATACCTACACGCCATGCGGGTCGTCCATTTAGATCTCAAGCCAGAAAATATACTTCTCTCCCATTCGGGTCACGTTCTTATCACGGATTTTGACCGTTCATACGATATTACACGAAAACAAGAACCTCCAAATCATGACGACTTTTGTGGAACTCCCCTTTTTATGGCACCCGAAATAGCGAACGGGATAGAAATAACAACTAAGGCTGATGTGTGGAGTCTGGCCATTTTAATGGCTGAGATTGTGTCAGGTCCGGTTCGTAGAGTTTCTAACGACTTGAATGTAGATATTAATCGGGCGAGAACAGGTTACTGGAAAATAAGGAATTTCCAGAGACTCTCAAAGGCTCTTCAGTCCTTTTTCAATGCCTGTTTGAAAATTAATCACAAGGAGCGTCCGGACATTTCTGGTATCAAGAATCTGCGCTTTTATAAGCATGTAGACTGGAATGAGGTAGGTTCCTGCAGTGTTAAACCTCCCCATGACCCTTTCGATTTGAGATGTTCTGCCTCTCATAATGAGCGCAGTGTTGATCCGAATGATCCTTTGCTTCTGGAAGCAGCCTACGGAGAGTATATGCCCTCGATAAAGAAGGGTCTTCAATGCACTGTTGATATCAGTGGTGTTCGTCATTTAGTCACAAGTCTACCAAACACTAAATTATTGGAGGAAGCTGGGTTGACATCTGAGAAAATCGAGGAGCTTTTTGCTGATTTCGAGTTTTCTAACCCCGTGCTTCGCTCCGGCGGTGTCGCAAATGCGTCGCAAGGTGTCATTGATGTTGATAAGTTGTCTCTTGACGCTGAGGAAATTGAAGTTCACAAGCCTTTTGAAGCCACCGGAAAGCGTTCTCGTATTTTCTCTGTAGGTGATTGAAAAAGAATGACCTTGCAGCTTTATTTCCTACCTCATCGATCGTGGCTCTTCACTGTCAACTGTCTTGCGTAATTTGACTATGATGTACTTTTGTATAGACCGTTGTGTATGTGCAGTCCTTTACAAACATGTACCACTTCTTCGTAATTCGAGGGTCAGTTTTTATTTGGATGCCCCGAGATTATTACTTCTTTAAACGTCCTTTTTTGCCCGGGAAGTAGCTGTAAGGACTCGCTTGAATTCTGTACTTCTCACGGAGCACGGGTGGCCTTGCTCCCGCCTGCCCATTGTGAGGGCTCATGCTGCTTCGTCGGCGAGTGTAACATATTCAATGATTTTGGCTTTTTGGCGGGTCGCGTGGTTGTGGTCCTATGTGGCGTTGCCAGTGATTTACCACAGTGTTTGTGTGGGTATATTTATTCGAAAGTTTTCCTGTTAAGTCGATGCGTCAGGTTGACTCGTCTGTCGCAATATGGTGTACTCTAAGTAATTCTTACCGCAATCCAGCATTAAAGGTACAACTGCCGGATCAAGGTCTATTGTCGTATAGAAGAGGTTTCACCGGCAAGGGATTCTGCTGCTTTGTCCAAAGTACCAGAGCTGGAAATGTTATATTTTGACATCGCTAAGCCTTGTCACAATGGCGGTGCGTGGTTGTTCCGACACGAAGTTCATACCCACTTTGGGTTGCCCAATCTTCCAGCGTGTAGGTGGAAGAATGCGGAGTCAATCCTCACCTCGTACTTGCAACTGTTTAGAGTCATGGTGGTAGCGTTTTCTCGCTTAGGATGTTGTATGGGGTTAATAAATGAGTTTTATTACTCGAAAGGGTGATGTGAGCAGTTGTTAGGGGGTGGGTGTTGATAGAGTGTAGTGCATGTTTCATGATTTCACTACGACGTGCGTCCAGCTGTGTAATTGATACGTGGAGTTAAATTTTGGCATCCATGCTGCCTGAATGGACCGTGGGAAGAAGCTTTGAATCATTGTACGCGAAGACCCAGTTTGTCTACTCACGGACTGTTTTCACTTATCTGAGTGTGTCAGTGGGTTTATTAGTGCTATTTGTTTGCCGAATTTGGATTCCTAAAACAAGAACTCGAAGGATAATTCGATATCATCACACTTATGGGCACTACTTTATATAAATACGTGTACAATAGGCTTAGTTGCCGTCAGCACATTCCACCAGTAGAAGTGGTGGAAAAAATCATCAGTGATAATGTTGGAACGAAATAAGCTCTTTTGGACTTTGCATCCCTTAGCTTAACAGTGTTCTCAGACCAGCTAGAAAATCGACATGGACATACACGACTCACTTAAAACGCCGATGGTACTAATCGTGACAGTTACTAAAGGAAGAAGGAAGTAACACGAGGCAAAACTATGCCTCACCGCGAAGGGGGGCAAAGATTCGAATCCAGATAAGTCTCTAATGAGCATTCACAACTTTTTCAACTTCCACAATTTTCGTCACCATGGGACTTGCGACAATCGCGGTGATACTTGTTGCAGAAAGTGTCGGAACAGCGCGATGTGGAAAGATGACCCATTGCAACAGAGTTAGGTGTTCAACGAAGGGGAGTGCAGTTGAGCTTATGAAGCGGAGCTCTATTAAAACTACGAAACTTCGTTTGATGAAACCCTGATTCCGTTACGATGCCACTATTAACTGCATACTTTTACTGCATTGCAACGGAGTAGGGTAGATGCATCTTGTAGTGAAGAAAGTAATTTTGTCCACTTCTTGCGAAGGGGAAGGAAGCATTGCCCCAATGTCATGAGGTAGTAGACGTGTCTTTTGCTCTGTGTGGACAGCGTTCCTCGCCAATTGTTAGTGTGACTTGCTAGAAGAAAAGTCAACTTCAACTGTCAAAGAACCGAACGGGGTTGCTCACCTCCCTACAGTTCTAGTCGATTATATAACATTCGGAGTGGCTAAATAGAGCTAATACCGGAGTGAGTTGTTAGGCACCAGGACACAGTATAGTACTCCTTACGGTTAAATAAGACAGTGCTACAACAGTGGATCTTGGAATCACTGTTTTTTGTTGAGAACGAAGTCGCCAAAGACCATGGGGGAAAGTAGCATCTTTAGTGTGCGAGGTAGGCGCAAATTGATTGACATTATTAAGTAGATTCCATAGAGTGTAAATAACCGATTAAAAGTTATGGAAATAAACACTAAAAGAGCTGAGATTACGCCACATGGTTATGATCGAGCAAAAATAAACTAAATCATACTTCCCCCAAGGACTACTCCGTAAGTAACACTTATTGGCAATAGAAGCATGCTAGACTTCATGCTAGGCATTGTGACTTCAAGGTTTCTTTAAAAACTTAGACCCATATTTTCATTCTGCACTTCCCATGGCCGGACCCTGTGAAGGTTCGCATAAATGACCAGAAGAAACAAATGCTACGGGCAGATGTCAACGTTATTAATAAAAAACATCTGTATATTACAACACGAATTCTGGTAGCACCAACTGTTTCTATCTAGTTAGATAAGAAAATTGTGGTAATCTGACCCCATATCGTCTTTGTCAATATTTGGCAATGCGGATACGATATCCCGGTCCATCATTAGGGTAGTAATAGGTATAACTATACGTAGGGTATACTACGACCTCAGAAAATACTGCTGCGGTAAGGAAACGATAATGTAGACACAAGTACAGTAATGAAGCGTCCCAAGTCTTCTCTGAGGCCGTAACAACCCAAAGTACTGTGGAGGAACATATTGTAATACGATAGTGGTTTATCCCTCGGTTCTGGTGAGGCGCCACTTTTGTACTTTGAATCAGCCCCCTTGTACTTCGCTGGGTGGGCTGGCCCTTTGGGCCATGCCAATAGCCCAGACACCCTCTCTGCGTCGAATATATATTCTGCCCGAGTATTTTGTCTTCTTTCGTCTTCAGGGAGTCCCAGGACGCTACATTGGTGGCAGCGGAAAGCGAACCCGATCTTAAAAGGCATGTATCCTGATTTTCCACTTCTGCGTGATAAGCCTTACTGGGGCGGAAGAAGTACATATGCCACGGATGGGAGAATGGTGATGATCCCTAATAGAAGGGTTGATGTTGACGTCTACCTTCGGCATCTCTCCCAGTCCCGTGTCCTGCAGAAAAGCCATTAACAACTGAAGCGACACTAGCTGTGAAATATCTGGAAGTTTCGTTACGGATTTCCCCTACCGTCCCCCATGGACCTGTTTTAAATCTTGTACTTCCTTACTCAAATCTGCTATTAGACCAGTGTTCCTGCATCTATCTATGGACACGCATGATGGCCGACGCAGTTCCCCGTCCTGAATCAAATCCCTAAACAGGACGAAACCCCAGATCCAGTCAAGCCGCCAAGAGGGATCGGTGACATTGAGGTCAAGTATCCCCTCAATTGCGCGCTAATTCGGTGACTGGCACGGTCGGCTCGTGGGTGTTTCTTTACTGCACCGACTACTTTGTAGTGGCTGACGCGGGAGGTTGACCTGAGGGAGCGCCGGGGACAACACTCAAAAGAGGAGGGAGGCTATGTAATACGATAGTAGTTTATCCCTCGGTTCTGGTGAGGCGACACTTTTGTACTTGGAATTAGTCCCCTTGTACCTCGCTGGGTGGGCTGGCCTTTTGGGCCATGCCAATAGCCCAGACACCTTCTCCGTGCTGAATACGTGTATTCTGCCGAGTATTGTGTCCTCTTTCATCTTCAGGGAGTCTCGGGACGCTACAGTATACTACTGACGTCCAGAGGAGTCGGGGAAGGAACTGGCGTGACCCGAGGAGCACTTAGTAGGAAGTAAATAGAAGGCAGAAAAGCACAGGTGTCCTTGTAGTTGAAGCAGAATGAGATTGGGGATAGAGATTCTCCCGGCATAAGTGGTCAACCTGGTTTCGTTTACCCAACAAACACGTATATGGTGCGTAATAAATCTAGTTATAGTCGCCTTATTAATTTCAAAGCCATTTCCACTTCAACGAAGAACTAGTGCTTTAAAAATGGAATAGTTTTGACACAAAGAACTTTTATTTAGAAATGGGGTTCAAAACAAATATAATCAGGTGCTTTTAAAGGTTACTTTGTATTATGTGTAATAGGGCACAATTCACCTAACGTAAAAAAATAAATAGACACTGTTGCTTTAACCAAGTGTGAATAATCACTCCTTTTGTGCCGTATTTTTTCAAACCTATATTCTATTTGACAGGGAAGACATTCATAAACGTATTCTTGTACAAGGCTACATGAAAAACATTTAAGGGTTTCAAATAGGTGTTAGTTGATATTTTGCTGGCATAAATGACTATTAATTTATCTTAATATTATGGTTGTTTTAAACGATCTTACGTTTTGTCCTTGCGTCTATTAAACATCCCTCTTTCCGATGGACGGCTTGATGGTGCCGGAGAGGGCTGTCAGAGTTCTCCAGTTTGGTATTCTTAGTCCCGATGAAATCGTAAGTTTGCAACCTGCACGCTTTTCTGGCAGAGCTGTTATTTTTCGCGTTTGCTAAGTGTGTTTTTTGACCTGTGAGGAACATTTCACATTAATACGAAGTTCGATGTATGCCCACGCTTACCGCCATCACCCCCGTTTTCCCTTTCTTCACTACTGTTCATTGGACTAACATTACGATAATATGTACATGTATTCTTCGATTTGGCTTTATTATTGAAGGTTTGGTGTTTCGTTGAATATAAGTTTAGTAGGGATATGACTTCTATTTTTCATAGCAACTTGAATTTTTCGTTGCTGTTTAGTGAGGTAAAGCTTGTTTTCACTGTGTAGGATAATTTTGGTGAGGATTTATTTCAGACCAAATGTTTGTTTAAGAATAAGCTTGTGATCCGATTTGAAGTTTTGTGATACAAAGAAAATATCCCATATTTCCTATCTGAAGCAAATATCACCCTTTACTTATCGTGTAGAAACAAATGTCTGTGGTTCCCGATGGGGGCATTAAGTATGCAGAAACGATGGATGGAGGAAAGCCCAAACTTGGGGGTCTGATGGATCCTCGCCAGGGATGTGTTGACCGTGCCTCAATCTGCCAAACATGCAGTGGTAACACAGCTTCATGTCCTGGCCACTTTGCTCATGTTGAGCTCGCGAAGCCTGTGTTTCATATCGGCTTCTTAAAGAAAACGCTAAAAATTCTCCGTTGTGTTTGTTTTTACTGTTCCAAACTCCTCGTGGACACTCAAATTCCGCGGATAGCTGATATTCAACGAAAGACCAAGAATGATCCTCGTCGACGCCTTGCTTTTATGTATGAGGAGTGTAAGTCTCGGACCACCTGTCTTCCTCCAGAAGATCTCACTAATGGGGACCAGGAGATAAAACTTGAAAGCAAGGTAAAAACAGGCTTCTATTTTGGCTTATAAGATGCAGTATTATTAATGCTTTGACCTTATAGACTACACGGACTGGTTGCGGACGTTACCAACCAAATTTCCGACGTGTAGGCCTGGAAATGACCGCAGAATGGAAGGTCCAAAATGAGGTCTCTCAAGAGAAAAAGACAAGCTTAACTGCTGAACGTGTCCTAGAAGTTTTTAAAAGAATATCTGATGAAGATTGCATAGCCCTTGGTTTAAATCCGCAGTATGCCCGTCCAGATTGGATGATCTGTACCGTTCTCCCCGTTCCTCCTCTTGCAGTTCGTCCCGCCATCGTGATGTACGGTGCAGCGAGAAATCAGGATGATTTAACTTATAAATTGGCCGATATAGTTAAAGCTAACAATCAGTTGCGCCGAGACGAACAAAATGGAGCTGCAGCTCACATTTTGTCAGAGGATGTGAGGATTTTACAATATCATGTGGCTACCCTGATTGATAACGATATTCCCGGTCTGCCAAAGGCTATTCAGAAGTCTGGAAGACCTCTAAAGTCAATCAAACAACGTCTAAAGGGAAAGGCCGGACGCATACGAGGTAATTTGATGGGGAAACGTGTTGATTTCTCTGCTCGAACTGTTATAACTGCTGATCCTAATTTGTGTCTTGATCAAGTTGGTGTTCCCCGAACCATTGCCCAGAACCTAACATATCCAGAACGAGTCACACAATCTAACATAGATTTCCTGCAGAAGTTAGTTCAAAATGGAACCATGTATCCTGGAGCCAAGTTTATTGTCCGAGAAAATGGTGACCGAATCGACCTTCGATATCATCCAAAGGTAGCTGATTTGACTCTCCAAGTTGGATACATAGTTGAGCGCCATATGCTAAATGATGACTTTGTCGTTTTTAATCGTCAACCCACCTTGCACAAAATGTCCATGATGTGCCACCGAGTGCGCGTCTTGCCGTGGTCAACATTTCGTTTGAATTTATCTGTCACTTCACCGTACAACGCTGATTTCGATGGTGATGAAATGAATCTTCATTTACCTCAGTCTGTCGAAACGAAAGCTGAAATCAGCCAACTCGCTCGAGTTCCTCGCCTTGTTGTAACTCCCCAGGCTAATAAACCCGTCATGAGCATCGTACAGGATTCACTTACTGCTGCCTACAAAATGACTCAACGTGACGTTTTCATCAACCGGGCTGATATGATGAATCTCTTGATGTATCTTCCCACCTGGAGCGGTCGCATGCCTAAACCTGCTATTTACAAACCGCAGCGACTCTGGACTGGCAAACAGCTCTTTAGTTTAATTATACCCCGTCGGGTAAACTGTATTCGAACACACAGTACCCACCCAGAAGGTGAAGACGACGGGCCTTACCGTTGGATTTCTCCAGGTGATACGAAGGTTTTGATTGACGACGGCGATCTTGTTGCGGGGATTCTGTGTAAAAAGACGCTTGGCTCCGCTTCCGGTTCTCTTATTCACCTGGTGGCTCTGGAGCATAATTTTGAAGTGGTTGGTATGTTTTTCAACAACATACAGACCGTTATTAACAACTGGTTGTTGATTGAGGGCCATACGATAGGCATTGCAGATACGCTTTATGATCAAGCAACTCGAAAACAAATTGGTGAAACCATCACGAAGGCCAAAGATGCTGTTTTCGATATTATAGACCAAGCACACAATTATGATTTTCAGCCTCTGCCTGGTAACACACTGCGGCAAACTTTTGAAAATCACGTCAATAAGATTCTAAATGAGGCTCGTGAAAAGACCGGTGGTTGCGCACAAAAATCTCTCTCAAAGTATAATAATTTCAATATTATGGTTGTTGCGGGCTCAAAGGGGTCAAGAATAAACATTTCTCAGGTTATCGCTTGTGTCGGACAGCAGAATGTCGAAGGCAAACGCGTGCCATTCGGTTTTAGGCACCGCACTCTTCCCCATTTTATTCAAGACGATTACGGTCCCGAATCAAGAGGTTTTGTCGAGAACTCCTACCTAGCTGGTCTTACACCAACTGAATTCTTCTTTCACGCAATGGGTGGTCGTGAGGGTTTGATTGATACGGCTGTCAAGACAGCCGAAACTGGTTACATCCAGCGTCGTCTAATGAAGGCCATGGAATCCGTAATGGTTAAGTACGATGGTACAGTGCGAAATCAGATCAATCAACTTATCCAGTTGCGGTACGGAGAAGATGGCTTGGATGCCGCTCACGTTGAATTCCAAAGATTGCCAACCTTTAAACCATCAGATGAGGCGTTTGAGCACAACTTTCGCTTTGATTTGAGCAACGAGCGTGCTCTTCGACGTTGTATGCCCGATGATTTGGTTAGAAGCCTAGCAACGGACCCGGAAACTCAGGCTGAATTAGACGCTGAATGGGATGAGTTGTGCAATGACCGCAAGGTATTACGATCAATCATTACCAAGCCAGAGGATCGCGTCGTCTTGCCTTGTAACATCGGGCGTCTTATTTGGAATGCTCAAAAACTGTTTGAAATTGATCCTCTTTCTAAAACGAATCTTCATCCACGGCAGGTAGTGGAACAGGTGCGGGAAACGTGTAAGCGTTTGGTGGTGGTGCCAGGTGAAGATGCACTAAGCAAAGAAGCTAATTCGAACGCTGTCTTGCTCATGAGTTGCCTTATTCGGTCAATGCTTTGTACAAAGAAGGTAATTCAGGAACATCGCTTAACTTATGACGCTCTGGACTGGGTGCTGGGCGAAATTCGAAATCGCTTCCAACAGGCACAGATTCACCCCGGTGAAATGGTCGGTGCCCTGGCGGCGCAGTCGCTCGGTGAGCCGGCCACGCAGATGACACTCAACACTTTCCACTATGCTGGTGTCTCGGCTAAGAACGTGACCCTTGGCGTGCCTCGACTAAAAGAAATTATAAATGTTAGTAAACGTCCCAAAACTCCCTCCATGACAATTTACCTAACCGGACAGGCGGCTAGGGATGCCGAACACGCGAAAGATGTAGTTGCTCGCCTGGAGCACACAACACTCCGCAAACTAGTAAACTGTACATCAATTTACTACGATCCAGATCCAAAGAATACCGTCGTAAAAGAAGACAGGGATTGGGTTTCCACCTATTACGATTTGCCTGATTTCAACATGGATGCTATAAGTTCTTGGATGCTCAGAATCGAGCTTGCGCGTAAACAAATGACGGGTAAAAAGCTGACAATGGAACAAATTGCCGACAAAATTACAAAGTCCTTTGGCAACGATCTTATCTGCCACATTCCTGATGATAATTTGAAGTTGGCAATGCGGATACGAATTATGAACAGTGATTTGGAACAAAACATGAAGGAAGCTGATACAACTACGGATAAAATGGAAGACGATACTTTCCTGCGTTTCATTGAGGCTAATCTGCTTACAGATATCACATTGCAAGGCATTCCTCAAATATCAAAGGTTTATATGCATCAGCCTAAGACTACAGATAAACAGCGTGTCATTATTCGTAAAGATGGCAGTTTTAATTGTGTCACTGAATGGATTCTTGAGACAGATGGCACATGTCTAATGAAGGTGCTTGCTCAGCGGGATGTCGACTCAGCACGCACAGTGAGTAACGACATCGTGGAAATTTTTGAGGCTCTGGGCATTGAGGCTGTTCGTAAGGCAATTGAGACAGAGATGCACGATGTGATATCCTTTGACGGTTCTTACGTTAATTACCGGCACTTGGCACTACTTTGTGATGTCATGACTGTGAAGGGCCATTTGATGGCTATTACTCGTCATGGAATAAACCGTCTTGATACCGGCGCTCTGGCCCGTTGCAGCTTTGAGGAAACGGTGGATATACTGATGGAGGCGGCGAGTCATGCTGAATGCGATCCCTTGCAGGGTGTGTCGGAGAATGTAATGCTAGGTCAGCTTGCGAAAATCGGTACGGGATCATTCGACCTCCTCCTCAACTCGGCTAAATGTCAAGAGGCCCAGCCCATTCCGATCGTCGGATCTGTCGGACTGTTTAACGGTGGCATTTTCGACGTTTCCGCCGGAGCTTGGGCCAGTCCTCGTTTTGGTTTGGTGACACCTGGAGATAGTCTTTCCGGCTTGACCGGTGGTCCTGGGGGCAGCACCCCGTGGGATACTGCTGCTTCTCCCGCAGGATCTCTTATTGAGGCATCGCCTTACGTCAGTCGCCTGGGTGGCATGACTACACCTCACGAGGCGATGTTTTCTCCACAGGCTTACAGACACGACCTCCCATATTCGCCAGGTCGGAGTCCACAGCTCGATAGTCCAAGAACACCTGATGTGCTTTTTTCGCCGGCAGCTATGTCAGGATTTGCCAGCCCACTGTCGTACGCTGGAACTCCTCAAACTGAAATTGGTTCACCAGGATCTAGTCCAGGTCATTCTGGGAGCGGGAGTAGCAGTTCCTTTGGATATGCTAGTCGTTTGAGCTTGGGTGCTGATGCTAGCTATTCTCCATTATCAAAGCCAACCTACGGTGGCACTGGTAGTTCATCGAGTCTTAGTCTTGGAGCCGACAGCAGTTCACCAAGCTACTCCGGACAGCAGTTCTACTCACCCGCCTCGGTGGGTTATCAACCGCGCTCTCCACAACGCAATGTATCGAGTTTCGGTTTTGGGCCATCCGTATCTCCCTCGGGGTCATCTCCAAACAGTCTTGATTCCTATAGTCCCGGAAGTCCTGCAATGCCTGGTGTGGGTATGAGTTCATCTGGACGGGCGGCTTCTAGCTGGATTACGGGTGGCTCCGACACGCCGAGTGGATTCTCTCCGAGCATCGATTCGGGATCCTCTCTGGGAAACAGTTTGTCTAACTTCAACTCTACCCACCCTAGTCCTCCACAAATGTACTATGGTTCGCCTTCAGCTCCACGATACAGTCCACAGCCATCATTTGGTGGTTCCTCAATGCTCTCCTACTCTCCACACTTGGGAGTCCCGAGCTCTCCTATCAGCGGTGCCTCTGGAGGGCTAAGCGGACCTAGTCACTCCCCACTTTCTTATCCTGCGACACCCAACTATCCGTTGTCCTCACACGGGGGTGCGGCAGGGACTGGAGGCAGCTCAAGTATCAGTGGTCTCGGCCTAACCGGCACAAGTTACGGTACATCCTATTGTCCTTCGGCAACTTTTAGCCCCTCCAGTTCTTTCCAAAGTTCGTCCTCGCACTATATGATGACCTCTCGTCGACCAACCTCTCCTTCCCCCAGCAGTCCTAATAGCTACTCACCAGCCCCGTCATCTGAACATCGATAAATAGAAGCACCAAATGTCTGCTACTTTTTTCCCCATTGTTGTTTTCTTGGTCCCTTCGATTTTGCATACGTTGAGGCAAAGCAGTTATCGTACCCAATAAAACTGAAATTGGGGATGTTTGAGCGAGACGGATATTTGCTAGGTATCGCTACTTGCTTGGCAGACGATATTGACGAGGGAGGCACTGCCACCGTCAGCTTCGTTTTTACGAAGGGCGTGGCAACTGCCTGGGAGTTCTCTGACACGCTCATCCATACTAGGAATGAGTGGTTTTTTACTAAGAACCTCGATTTTGACTCAGTGAATCTTAGTGGGGAGCCATGCTGCCGGACTCTGGTAGCCTAAAGTTTAGTCCCACAAAGGGTCATTGATAAAAAGTGGCTGCGCTCGTGGGACTGGATATTGCATCGCCGAAGCATTCCTGCTAGGTTAATGAGCAATGTAACCACAAAACGTGCCCGTGTATTTGGATGTGACACGTACAATAGGTGTTCAGGAGGCTAGGATACTTGGGGTGCGAAAACGGTGAGGTAGGTGGTGGTCGAGGGCTGTTCGCCAGTCGCGATGCTGCAGGTAGGCGAGGAGGATTTCCACCACGATGTTCAGTGGGAGGGAGGAGGACTTGGCAGGATTTTGAGGAGACCAATCCCTAGGGGCAAATTCCTGAATAGGCAGTCGCACAGCTGATATACCCAATCTCGATGCAGTGTCCAAGCTTCTCCCCTTTAAGAAAAGTAGCTGCCGTCACTTGTGCATGGCACAGGGAGATACGTGCAAAGGAATTTCCTGTTCGCTTCCAACGTAAAAGTTGTAAGTACAGGCTGTCTACAAAATGTCATATCGAGCTATTGTTGCATCCAGTACGTTGATAATGCATATTATTTGTTTGTGGATAGGGGAGAAACGTAAGTGGAGGTGATTACGGTAGCCGCAGACAGTAACGTGAAACGAAACATTAGGAAAAGATGCAAGCAAATGACGCACATGGAAGAAACCAAAGAATCAATTCAAGCTTATGAAAAGTAAGAGCAGGTCGAAGTCAATGAAAAGTGGGTTGTTTACTTTTACAATGTTTTCATCAATGAGCCCACCAGCAACGTAAACAGAACACTTGTCAACGTCAAGCAAAGGATCAGAAGCGTCCGGGGAAAGATATACAATCCGCTGGGATTTGAATACATCGGTTGGTGAGCCAACATGAAACCCGATCTGAGAAAATAAAGAATTCATGTGAGGTTGATGTTCATACACTAGTCCTAATGAGGCAAACACCAACCTGGTAGTTATCAAATCCACAGCACTTTCTCCGACAGCATTCAGCCAATAGACCAGCTGGGTTGAAGTTAACTAAGTGTAGACTCAAAGGGCTGACTGCTTTCTTGTTAGCGCCATAGACTCGACATAATTGTTGGGCGAACTTGGAATGTTCCTATATGGAAAACCTTGCGCAAAATAACAAAGGCAAATAACTTAGTAGTACTCATTATCAAGCTAGAAGTAGAATCTAGTCAAACCGCGTAATGCGGACTACCAATCACTACTTAGATTTGAAAAACAGAAGGGAACAGATAGAGTTTAAATGGCAAGCAGATTTAAATCAGCTGGCGAAAAAGTGAACTAGTAATCTCAGCACCTACAGAGCTGAAAATACGTAAATCTTGATATCATCACCAGAAAACGTATTTCAAAATTTTAAGGAGTAAAAGCACCAAACTGTCAAAACTCTTTGAGACACGACAACTAATCTACAAACTAGCCAGCCAAAAAACAATCATTAACATGAGAGTATAAACCTGGAACCTGTGAACGAATTAACTTACCTTTGCGGACATATCGCCCTCGAACGAACAGTCAATGCAAAACTTAACTCCACTAACTAGATTCTGCCTGAGCCTCTCTTTAGATAGACGAATTCTTTCGCGCTTGGAAATGTACTCACCACCTGCCTCCAGGTGCCGTCTGATCGACTCTGTGTCGCGCTTTCGTCGACGCAGGCGCTCCAATCGCCGCTTAGTCCGCAGGTTAGAGAAGAGGCGGTCCTCCGTAGACATCAATACAAATGTAGCTGAAATTTAGAGAATCCTCCACGATTTCTATAACTTCACCTAGACTGAATACCTTAAGTACAATATAAGGGAAATATTGTGACGGCAAATGCAAAATACATTAAGGGGGCGCGTGAGAATCTAGTGTTAATATAGGAAATTGAATTAAAACAAACAGTACCAAAAAGAAGACACTAATTGTTTCTTTTTGTGGAGGTCTCCAGATGATTGAGATCTACGTTGGCAGAGACAATTTACGCAGAGAGGTGTGACCTACACTTTTTCCCAATCAATCAACGCTCACGTACTATGGTTCAGTTTAGTCCACGTGATTAAATTATGGGCTTTACTATCATTAGAATAGCTCTATTCATTAAGTCGCTTGAATCATTTGCGAATTTTAATCCTTTTCCCTTAAAAAAGTTTCAATAAAACGCCTTAAGTACAGTGCATAGTACGACAACCGACATAAATGCAAACTAAATTGTTACACAGTGAATTGGTGGGTAAGTCATTTTGACAGCATTCTACCCTTTGTATATACCACATCTTGCAACTTTTGATAATACTTTTGCAGACTGTATGCGAGATGATCGGTTTTGTCTGAGGCGTAATTTGACGACTTTTTGGTCCATTGGAAACTGGATTGCTTAAAAGTAGTTTTTTGTTCATTTTCATAATAAGATTAATCAGATTGGTTTGAAAATCCTACCACATTAATTATTGTGCCGAAATATTAAGAGTAGGTGTAATACGATAGTGGTTTATCCTTGGTTCTGGTGAGGCGCCACTTTTGTACTTGGAATTAGCCCCCTTATACCTCGCTGGGTGGGCTGGCCTCTGGGGCCATGCCAATAGCCTAGACACCTTCTCCGTGCTGAATATATATATTCTGCCCGAGTATTTTGTCTTCTTTCGTCTTCAGGGAGTCTCGGGACGCTACAGTAGGTTTCTAAATTTTGCCATGTTATCATTTAGGGAATGAAGCACTCTGATCGACTGGATTTTCATGTACCAGGTAGTTGAAAATGTCAATTGCGCTAATGTTACCACAGCTACCTCCCCCGTAATTTGGAATTGAAATCTAAGGGGAAAATACTCATAGAATGTTCCTTAGTATGACAATATTTAGAACAGGACGAAGTCCATGAAAATGATACGATATTTCTAGTACCGAATGCAGTTGCACAGAGGCAATCCATTTACTGAACTAATTAAGGTACTTTAGCTTAGGACGAGGCTCGTTTACCCCCACTACTCTGGCACCCAGACTGATTTGGTTTTGACATGTGCATTTCTTACAGCAAATGGAGCATGGGTACAAGTTTGGGAAGACTCGGCCACCTGACTTTTCTCTGACTTGGGACATGCCGACCGCTCCGCAGTCAGGAGGTTGGATTTGTCTGCCCACCTCCTCTCTAAAAGGAACATTTAAGCAACATAAGTATTATACTAGGGCTAGGTTGCCCTAAGAAATGCCGTAAGATGTTGTAAGCATAACATTTACAATAAGGCTACGATATGGACTAATCGCCACGTCGTTGAACTGGAAGTTGGAACTCCGGAAATCAAAGAATTCGGCGAAGCTAAATGAAAAGCTTATACCATCAACTGGTGCGCTTGATTTCGTTAAGTGGCAATTACATAAGGCGATAAGATTTTAGTGACCAATATTTTTAAACTTATGCATAATTTTGGGCTTGGATTTAGCTACTGAATATATTTGTTAGCCCTGGTTTCTCCGTGAGGGTATTATTGTAGTATAAAAGGAAAATGCAGTAAATTAGTTATAATCACCCGCTATAAATGTAATTAAGATGGTCTAACGGAAAAAAATAAACGTGTACTTTGTGCGTGGCATTTCGATAAAAACCCGAGTAGGTTTATCGTAATGCAAGGTTGACAGGACTGTTAATTACAACTGTTCACAACGTGCAGACTATGCAGCATCGTGCCTTGGACCGCTTTTCGAGCTTTTAACACTGTATTTTGGGTTCCCAGAACAATCTACTCTCTTTCTCAGATCTGATGTAATGCGGAAATTAGTCCATTTACTCATTACATTAATGAAAATATCTTTTAACTTTTGCCGGTTAGTAGCCATGAGTAATTGAAAACTTGTGTGTATGCTAACAATCAGCTTTAGTTCCGGTGCTTGAAGGTAAGAATTCTTTAAGTATATTAATATATCTTTATGAAAACTGCATCAGCTAGTATTCCACAGTTTAATAATAAGTATGTACGTTATGTGAAATGCCATTTTTGGTCGCTCCCTTGACCCTTTTAAGGAATGTCCTCTTGAAGTAATTTTGATTTGAAATGATCCAGTCTTTCGAATGGGTGGTAGCATCGTATGTAGCTATATTTACTTAATAACTACTGTATATCATGGTGTAATCTAGTGGGAGTCATTATACAAATCTGTTTGCAGATAGCACTACAAAGGTTTCCGTGCCACAATCATAGTCATAAAACAAGTGACAAAATTTCTGGCTACGGCTATTTCAACCTGTCATTTCAGATTAGAAGCAAACAGGAACTTTATTAACAATAGAGGATTTAGATGGGTGGTTGAACAACTGCAATTTGCTTTGACATTGGATTCGGTAAATTCCGTACCAGGAGTAACTAGTCTTATCTCCGATTATAAAATGCGCGTCTTGGTCATTTAGACCCTGAAATTCAATGTGATGCATAGCACTTAATCTTTATTTTTAGACTATTTTTTTGCCCCTCATACATTTATTGCCATAAAATCCGCTTAACCTAGCCTTGAAGCTAACCAGTCTGTGGCATTTTACTGAATAAAATCAGCTTTTTGAATCCATTAGGACAGCATTGCCAGCTCAAGAAAAAAATACTATTGCCTATCTTATAGCTTAAGTTTTAAAGGCATGTTATGCTTCAGGCAAAATAAGCTTGACACCTGGGCGTTGCCGCATTGAAGGTTGGGACGACACTCCCGTGTTCTTTTCTCTATTCCATGTATCATTTTGAAAAGTGACAACTAAATAACTGATTACATATACGTCTGGGCAGTGCATTCGTGATAAATAGGGCATTTGAGCAGTTAACGTATTGGTGTATAAATATCTCGACGAGAACGAGCCTTAAATACGTTTCAACTAACTCCGATACAATCGAAGCAAGGAAGGATCCTATAAATCCAACACTATTGACCGGTTTAAAACTGTAATTTTAAGTAACAAATACGATACCTTTCGCCAACTCAGACTCGCTCCCATTGCACACTTTCTTGATGCTGTGAATCATCGAAACTGCTCAGTTAATTTTACGATGGAAGTCCCAATAGTAGGTGACATTATTATTGTCTGTGTTAATTCTATGTTTATTTGCTCTAAATTTAATTAAAATGCCAATTTTAGGAAATAATCATAAACTAAGGAGTACTCTTGAAATTTGATGCTACTCGACGGTGTTGTATAGAAAAACCCAAGAAGCATCTTAGTGAAAAGGCAAGTAATTTAACCCTCAAGATCGGTGCCTGCGAGTGCGTACTCTCATTGCCTGCTGACCCAACAGTGGTGACAAGAAATAGAAATTTAACTGCGGTCCCCTATTAGTACAAGCTGAATTCGAACCAGAAAAATAAAACAAATGAAGTATTTCCACTTAAGACTAATAAATAGCTTAAACAGACTACGCGATCTACTAACCCAAAGGATGGCCCACAAAGTCTAGAATTCATGCCAATTCAGGTGAAACAGAACTATTGTTGGGCTGCATGTGAGAGGCCTCGACAGTTCGGCTCACGATTCTTGCTTCAAACCCCATTTGTGTGGAGAAATAATCTAGATGTTATAGCGGAATCATGGAGTGGTGGTATCCACTCGTTGTTTAAGACTGATCGGTTCATGCTAATTGGCAACCGTGACGTGCTCGAACCTGCGTCTGGTGACCAGTGCACTGCCAACCGTGCGCGTATAAAATTAGCATTGCACGAAGTAACGTGAAGCAAATAAAGCCATTGAATGCTACACATATTTGCTATAATGTTACAGAAAGAAGAACAAAAAAACACAATGTACTGGCTTTATAGATTAATCATTTTCGGTTTCAGGATTCGTTATTTAAAGGACGTGGTCAAACCATTTAGATCTGACCCATTTGATCCTAAAAATACGCATAGGTCCGGTTTATAAACCGAAGGCGGTTATTGAGGAAAGATTGGTTATCGAATGAGCCTCCTTTGCTGCTATTTATCACTACTGGCTCGTTAACAGCCCCTCTGGAGTAGTTTCAAATTGTAGAAGTAGCTCGGAATTGAATTAAAGTAAATGAGTTGCATGGGAGATAAATTATGGCCTCGTACACCCTAAATACCCAATATTAGCCAACATTTTACTTATAGAATAGTCAAAATATTCTTTCCGTAAAGCATGAACACTACAGATAGTATACTGGAATGACCTTTTCCTCGGTGTTAGGCTTCGTAGAGTGAAATGTGGAAAAAGCTGCATTCCTGTATGGTTTAGCAGATAATTTTATCCATACAAAACGTCAGTTTGATGCCTGAAACTGCCGAAACTCATAAATGGTCAGTAACCAAGTTAAAAGTAAGCTGCAGGTAAGGTTAAACCAATGTGAACATGATAAAACGCTATGGCACTCAATGGCAGTGCTACAAATATTTTTTTCTGCTTTGAGGATTTCAATACACGCCCTTGCCTGTGTTCGCTAGCCACACCACCATCGACCAATCAGCGAGACTAGTACACCGTACTTCCTTTTCATTGGTGAAGCTATGCTCCGTTCAGACACGCGCTCATGCTCATGAGGCCGCCGCAGTATGCGTAGTTGTGGCGGTTGAAACGACTATCCCATCTTGATACGTTCAGGCGGAATGTCCATTTCAGATACAGAATCCCATCCAGCCTTCTACCACTCCAAAAAGCGCATTTGGGATTTCCCGATCACTTTACCGGCCTCAAATTCTAACAGACCAACCCGACAAACCAAACTGAATGCATACTGTGTTTGTGGATTTGACAGTCTCTGGAAACTCTGGTATGCCGTGTTCGTGGTCTTATCAACTTGTCTACTTTTCTGGTTGGCAATCGTCCGGTATCAGGAATTCAAAGCACAGTCCTTTCATCCACGATTCGGTTTTGACTGGAACTGGAGCTTTCCTCTGAATCTCCAAGTGGCCTGTCTAGTTGCTGTGGTGTGTCTCTTTCCCTTGCTAATTTACGCCTCGGTTTCAAGAGTGGGACACTCAGCGAATGATGGGATAGTTCTTGGTAGAGATTGCCTCCACCTGCACGCGATGCTGGCTCAACTGCCGTGTTTCCGACTGGCGCAGCGGTCGGCCGACCCGGAGGCGGCAGAGCGTCTGCGGGCACGTATCGCTCACTCCACCCAGTCACTGAACGAGGCCACCCAGTCTCCCGATTTCGAGTCCTTCATTATTCAAGACAGGGTTGAGGCCCTCGAACATGCCAGTTGGTACGTTGCAACCAGGCGACAACTGCGTCCCTTCGCCTGCCTCATCCACGTCCTCATCGCGTTCGCGCTCCTCCTACCCGTCTGCGTTTTTGAAGCAGAACAGATTAAAAATGAAGCAATACCACCAGGTAAGTGTCTCGCTCCTCTTCCCTTTACTAGGTCATTCGTAATCTAAGTCAAGTTAGATTAGCTAGGTCCACCACAACAAATTCTTCACTTTACATTTTCAAGAATGGAAATTCACGTATGTACGCGTTGTTGTTGTCCAATTCCAAGTGGTACAAGCACAATGCTGGCATGTACTGTGGTGTGTTTATATCCAAGGGCTGCCTTCAATTTCTACGATTTTAGGAAGGCACAGTTCTTCATATGAATGTATACCATTGGGCTTAAACAAAATACATAATTCATTCCTCAGCTTGATAGGCCGTTTTAGAATCTACAGTTTTATGCGCGTTAACGCATTCCAGCATTCACTTACTAATAAAATTTAATGGAGACACCTTTTTAGACTAGAAAGCAAGCATGGTTATAGTGAATTGGTTAGCTGGCATTAAGGCAAGAAATGTTGAGTACTTTTTTAAATGGGTATGTACTAACTTCTCTAATAAATATACCTACGCACAAATTGACCTCTCACCTGGTTTATGGAAGTCGTAGGCTAATACAGCATCTTTGTATGATCTTTTCGCTGAGCTGTCGAAGCTGCGGGTGGAAAGGGAAGTAAAAATTCAAAAATAAAATGACCAATCCATTAAACACATTAGCTGTATATTTCGATGAAAATAAAGCAAATATCCTTAGTGTTTCGTGTCACAGCTAAAGTTCTTATAACTTTTAATTATGTGCCCTCTTGTCAAATAGCTAAGTCGTGTGCGCTATCAAACACAATGGAAATGATAATAGAATTGGAGAGAATTTACTGACTTAATGAGTTTCCACACCACTCAGTCCAGTGCTCGGCTAATTGAGAAGAGCTAACAGTCCACAATTGGCTTTATTTCTTCAAGCTTAGATGTGCTCTATTTACCCGTGGATTTCATGCGCGGCTGAACGTTAACACAATTAAAGCGTCTAACTGTAAAAATTTTATAGTACCCAGACAGTTTTCGATCATCTCTTAATTTGTATACATGATAACTTTGATTAAGCTTATGGCGAGAATCCACTGAAAACTCGAACAAATTGAATGCGTTAGTGTTGAACAAATGGTGTAACAATTCTGTGAAAAGTCCTGTTTCAAAACTGGGAGGGGATCGTTAACTGAAACCAATTTAGACAAATAATCACAGAGGATCAATAGACTCATTAAAATACAGCATCCGATAAACAAATTTTCTCTTGAAAGTTTCAGTTAAGATTGATCATAATGTACAATCGTTATTTTGCCAATCGAAAAATTGTAAGATCCCTTGTTAACCGGGTAAATCCGTTCCCCACCCTTGCTGTCAAATTTCGAATGACCTTTGGTCACGAACACAACCTCATGTAGTGAATAAGTCACAATGCAATAGTGAGACACGATTTGGAGGCATTGCACGCAATGGGGTGGGGAAAATAATTTTTCGCAACCGCTCTCCTTGTAGACCCCGTTTTATTCAGAAGTCTCGCATATCATGTGAATACCTAACACCGTAATCTGCATGAAATCCTATGCTTCTCTTTGAACGGCAGCTATTAATAAGGTTTTCCTATAAAAACAGTTGAGGATTGTCAATTTAATTTATATCAGGTGGTTCTGAAACATCTCCCTACGAAAAAATTATTATTCTAGACTATTTTTTGCCAGTGTATAATACTTTCGAGGAACTGCTTACATGGGTTTTCTGTCTTCAAAAATTTGATTAGTTAACGCCACTAAAGTTGTCCCATTGTTCTTGTGATGCATTTCTCATTGCCTAGTATGTTATTAAAACCTGAAATTTGGAGATTCTCTTTTCGGCACAATTGTTTTGTTGTTTGAGTAACCTCTATCAGCAATATACTCTGGTAGATGTCTGGTTGTTATTGTTTCATATTTGAAATTTGAAACGCCTACTGATGAGCGATACCAAGGTGGAAATGAACCAAAGGTTTTGCTTCGAAACCAAGTACAAATCGATTAACAAAAATACAAGAAAAATTGGAACTTTTAACTTTTCTTGTGGAGTAGATGAGGACCACCTTTATGATTGAGGGTTATTCATTAACGGCGGTGGCGGTAAAATCACTAATAAACTCACTAAACTGCTCGTTTTACCGCTTAATAAAAACAATCTCTTTTTAATGATAACGTACTGGATTATTCTAGGTTTTTGCAAGGTCCCTATTCTTGATCAAAAATCACTAGAAATAGAACAATAAATGAATATGACATGGTTTGTATTATTTGCTGAGTCTGAGTCCTGGAAATGAGACCCATTGAAAACACCTATCCTTCCCGATACTGTCAGAGAATATAGTAGACATTAGAAGCGGTTGCTTGGGTTACGCGCAATGCAATGAAGCTAGTGTTACTGTAGTAACGCTTTTGTAATCAAAAACGGTTCAAGCAAAAGATATCAAACATCTGGTAGAAAATTTTGGCAGTTTCTGCAAAGCCCACTTCTCTGCCGTCGCTGAAGCCGTACCCTCGCTTTGAATTCCAGATATAAGCAAATATTACTAAAATAACAATTAATCACTGTACTGACCTGTGTTTCTTACTTAAGGACTCGTGAATGATAACATAGGGCAGTGATGATTGCGCGGTCAAATCCACGCGGCCTCGATCGAAAATTCTATTAACAGAAACTTTACTCTGAACAAATAGCTGACGGGTACCGATAGTAAATTACTAAAGTTACAATTTCGTGTAACCCAGAGATATTCCAGTCAATTTTTAATTTGATGTCTCATTTAAGTGAGCTTTCCGAAGATGTCTAATTGGATCCTGCTATGTTATTGTTCATTGACATCTAGATAATTTACGGTGTTATCAAAGTTGATCATTATGTAAGAAATGGGTTACTCATTACCACCATGAGATAATGAGCAATGAGCGGCAGCTCTCGGACAGGAGATTGCATGAAATACCCTATGTGACCGAAGAGAGAAAGTGATGCAATTAGTTGTTTGCAGTCTTTGCCTTTCAACCGCGTCGAGGCCATCATTTACGTCGACAGAGCCAAGGCAACAGGGTAGGAATGAGGCGAAGAGGGAGAAGCAGCCTCACCCTTTTCGCCCTTGGCGAGCATGGTAGGCGGTACTGCGATGACGGGCGTCGTCAATCCCAGACTGATGAGTCATGCTATTGCCCCATGCGTTGCCGTGCTTGCGCAAGCACTGCCGGCACCGCTGTTCGCTCGATCTGGGCGCGACACGCCGTGCACGAATGCTGGAATCACTTGCCAGTACTCTATGCGCTGTCAGCATGTCATCAGCGCAATTAGCGAAATAAAGAGACGTTAAACGCAGCTATTTATCAGTAAATCTCCACTTTTATTTTGAAATATACTGTGGTCTTATATAATTAACCCCTTTCCGATCTATGGTCCGACCCCCTAAAGTACCATTTGAATGATCCATATTAGCGGACATTTATGCATTGAAATTTCATCTGGCATAACGGACAAAGTGGTCTAAACGGCAACCGCACGTCTAGCAGCTCAGCTACTTTTTTGAGACTTCATATGGCTCTGCTGAATGGCGACACTGTTCAATGGAAATACAGACTATTTATTTCAATTATGAAGTGGGGTAAGCTCGTTCAAATGTTGTGTCATCATTAGCAAGGATGCGCTACAAGCTAGATGGTTTAAAAGAAGCTGAAAACATCTACTTATAAATATTTTCTTTATAGAATACGTCTGGCATTCAAATTTGGATTGGTTGCTAAACGGCTTTCGTGGCTCGCTAGATATTTATCCATGTTTAAACTTTTCAAGTGTCTCCTTGGACAAAATCCACTTTCTTCCTGGATTTGCTTCGAATTATAAAAGAAGAGAAAGTAGTAAGCAATTCAACGGCCATCCATATCCATCAATTCCAGCAGACCTTGGTCCCGAATTCGTTCTTTTGGCAGTAACACTAGTGCTACTCACAGTTCGCTTCGCTTCACCCTTTTGGTTTACAAGTCGATCATTTTCAACTCTTCTCTCTTTATACACTGCAATGACCGGGTGCTATATTCTCCTGGAAGCTGCTGCAATAGAACTGTTGTCGAAAATATGCACAGCTGGAACCCGGGACAGTTATGGAAACCGTGTTGACGTTATTCCAAACAATTTACGGCTGATGGAAACGTGGATTTGTATTATAACAAGTGCTGTGGGCTTTCTGTCACTTCTTGCTGGACTGATGGCATTTTATTCGTTTGGAGAACTGTTGTTTCAGCGTTCTGTGGCCAACTACGCAACTTTGATAATGGCAGGAGAGCTTGACTCTACAAAACCACGAGACATTATTTTAAGGGAAGGCAAAGGTTCTACACTGATTGAAGATGGTGTTGTAGAGGGTAATGACCTATTTGGTCCCAGTGTTATAGCCGTAACCACAAAAGTATGGCGTCCGACCTGCAAAGGCCCATCGGTTACGGGGAACACATCATCCAGAGCTGCAACCCCATCCGCTCTATCGGCCAGCAGCGATACTCTTCGATCCAAAACAGCCAGTACACTAGGTATCCAACCCAAACTTACGGGGAAATCTTCTTCTTCTGTTGCATTCTGGCCTTCACTCACTTCCGCCTTGGCCTTTGGATGTTTGGCAATAACCCGAAGCTGCTTATTCGGCCCAATGTTGCAGTGCTATTGGCACGCGCAAGTCAAACTTCCACTTATATACGTGATTTTTTCAATATTATATTTAATTCTTTGGCTTGTACTATGGTTTGGTGTTACGGTTAAAACGGCTTGGAGATTTCGCTTGCTGCATATGCCTGCTCCGTCCAGTAGTCGGTACCGATTCACATCGCCTAAACATCTATCACATGCTGAACGACTGGGACTGGGTGTTTCACAGTTCGCACCTTGGCCACTCATGAACAATCCGGCTGCAGCCCAGCTTGGCGCAAGCTACTTCTGGCCTTGGCTGCAATATCAAAATGGGTTTGCACACCCACAAAACGGAAGTCTAGCATTTGGCAGTTCACCGACTCCCTATGATGGAAACTATGCGGATAGGGGACCTCCTGAAGTGAATCCCATGTATGGATGTTTCACGGATGCCCAACAACCCAGTCCGGGGGGGCTACTTCGAGATGGTCCACCCACACTATCGGATGGGTCGGACAACGTGATACAGATAGAGTACGACAGACCATCAAACTATGCCTACTTACAAAAGGGAGCAGGACTAGTGACCATTTGCGATGGCGACGGAGCCTCTGAGGAGTCATATCAGCCATATAGGAGGAACACAGCGGACCCCGCCTACGTGAGTCTCGCGTCGCTGGGCCGAACAGGAAGTCCACAGCGCTCTTCGCAAGGCGGCTCCCGCAGGGGTGCCCTTGGCGCCCGAGTGACCTTCAAGTCAGACGATGAGGGAGGTGTGGTAGAGGGCAACAACGCCAGCAGCGACAGCGGTGTTTGCACAAATGGAAGTGGCAGTCGTATCGTTGGAAAGCTAAATCTAAACAGCCACCCACTCTTTGTTGGAGACGCTGGTGCAACCGATGACCGTGCCAGCAGTCCACATGGCTTTATGGGTCAAGCTGCAGCAAGTACAGCGCACAGTTCGGTCAGACTGGAAACTGATGAGAGACTCTGCAGCCAAGTCTAATCAAATTGCACTACCTTTCTCATTCCTTCTGTAAATACTAACCAGTGTTTAATACGTTATAACTATATCTGTGTATGTATGTGTATCGGTTGGGCAGACTGTTGTGATTCCTGCTCATAACTCTGAGTAAGCAGCATTTTCTTGTTTTGACAATTAAAAAGATAAGAGTTGTTTCTAATTCAAGAAGAAAATGTTCTGTTTTTAATTCCAAGAGCACGGGCGCTTTAGCTGCATCCACTCAAATTAGGACATTATTGTTAATTTACTTATTACATTTCCTGTTTCGAAGAAGAATGATGTCGAGAATACGTTCAATCTGTCTTTCATTGCTTTGGACACATTGATGTAATGGGACTTCTCAACCGGATATAATGTTTGTAAACGGCGAATGACCGCCAGAATCTATTTTCCACAAATGGCCCTCCGAACACTAAAGGATGGCTTACATTTTTAATAGTGCAATAATAATTTGCCAAATAATCGGTTGAGCTGTGTGATTACTACTACATCTGCATGTCCAAATTGTTTTAAGAATACGGTGTCAAAAGACTCCTTAATTATGCTTCTTTAATTTATTGGGAGCTTACTAATGGTAAATTGAAATTTTTCCAGCCCTTTTGAAAAATGTCAAACAGAGCTACTAGGTAAAATAAATTGCTGGATTTTGTCTACTCTCTAGTTCTTTTTGCTACTAAGGCACAAGGTAATTCAAATCCTTCCATAAAGCATTACGACTTAACGGGAGCATTTAATGCCGTGATGTCGAAAAGGGCCTCAGTCGAGACTAGACGTTGAAGCATATATATTTCTATCCATTGTGGCAATTGATCCTGTGGGTTATAATCTGCAAAGGGAATGAAGTAGAGTTGGTGTTAGCATTGCCATTTCATAACACTTACTTATTCCACCTTTCCATTCAAATAATAAACAAGATGGACAGCCCTCTTCGACATTTCATCACCTCTACACGAATTGATTAAAAGTGGAACGTAATATCCAACATGTTCTCCCGCTTATCCTTCCGCGAACTTATAGCCAATGTTTAAAGTCGTTTTTCGAGCTATTGTCTTTGGTGGTTTATAATACACTTTTTAAGCACTTTGACCACTTTCCGTTTTTCCTCATAATTTGGAGCAATCAAATATGCCTCCTAAGGACTAAAGTGCCCTCCTCCACTTCTTAATTCGACATTTTTACGAAGTTCGAAGACTTTCGTAACAAGAAACTGTCTTACTAATTAGGTCGGCCACGCAGTTCGGCATAACATTAAGTAGCAAAGCTCAACGCGGCCATTTATGAGAGGAAGGGCTAAACCAACATGCGGAATGTTTTATTTTCTTATAAAAATGTTCCAGTTGGTGAATTAGCTAACCATCAATAAGCGCGGCTTTTCCCTTCTCGTCAGTAGTAATTTTGTTTGCATTCGACCTTAACATAGTTTTGGTGAGTCAAACTCAACACAGTAGGGTTGATGGTAGATTTGATAAAGATGAATTACTGAAAACTAGTTACCAACCTTCCGCTCTCTATGATTCTAACCAAATCAGCTGGTTTACTTAAGCCAAAAAATACCTTAAAAGTCGATGGAACAGTACACAGATAAAGTATTATGATCCCTCTAGCAAATTTTGTTGAGTATTTTTGATGGCTTTTTGTGGCTGAAGCGAAGCTCATATGAGGTATAGAACACTCACAGTGGAGTACAAGGTTTGCAGGTGAGTTGAAGATGCACATATTCTACATCAAACAAACTTTACTGATCTTTCTTTAATTTGGCTTCTATTTGTCCATATTTTTTTTACTTCGATGACACCGTTGCAATGGTTAAAATGGCTTTGCTCGAAAAGGAGATCGCTTCGCTTTCTTTACCAATGGCCCCAATGTCTGATGGCATAGCAACTTGCAGTAGTACATATCGTATTATTCAGACATCTGGATCTGGAGAGGCATCGCAGAGTTCATGTATTGAAGAATATCATAGCGGAAACAATGAGCTTTGATGGTGCCCCATATTTCATCCTTAAAATTCCCAGCATTTCATAGAAAACACTCCACCTAGCTTTCAACAGAGCAACCGACCGCACACCCTTTCCGCCTGTCAGACATCAGTGCCGCAACCAGTGTACAAAATCCGGAAATCAGGAATACGATTATCAGGCGATTTCTAAAAAATTGTGTGAAAAAAGACCAGAATTATCGAGATTGGAGGAAAACCCGTTGAAGTTCTAATCTTTCATCGCATTTTTTAACGTGCTGACCATTTTGAATGAGGTTGCCGCCCGCAGAATAGGCCATGAATTAGTAGTGTTTTCCAAGTAAATTTATGTAATTTTATTGAATTAGACTCCAAAATAAGCCTGCTAATGAATCATCTGATCTACTCAACTAAAGGGCTATGACAGTTTTTCGACCAGAAATTACGTTGTGTAACTACTAAGGCATTATGTATCTTTATAATGTAATCGAATTTTGGCTTTTAGAACAAACGACTGTTTTTCGTGTGGATAGTATCCGCATTCACCGTTTGAAATGTGCATGCACAAAGGGTCATTCACGGCTGGTATTGCGCATTGTTTTAATGAGGGCTTAGAAGAGTAAAATCGCCTCACATGCATTTTCACGATTTCCATACTAGCACGCGACTAGGCCTAGTCATTATTTTGAATAAGATTAAGCGCTTCTTAAGGGAAGCCCATTGGAATCGCAAGGATGCACTGTTACATTTTTCTCGAGAAGTTTACGGTGAAACGAATGTGAATTAGGCCTCATTTAGTCAGTAAAAGTTACCATTTTGGCGGGACACGAGTTCCTTGATTTGTACCTGGCGGGTTTGGATACAGAGGATTTTATGCGCAAAGGTGTGTGTGTGTATGTACATTTCCAAGTTGTAACATATCTGTCGGACCCGGCTGTGTTCTGTCAAGGGGTTATAGTTAAACGCCGTATTCACAGCGTGGATGATGGTAAGAAGTGGGGAAATGAAGAATTCATGACAGCCGTTTCTCATGTACATTCAAAATCGAACAGGATATCATTACAACCTTTTTCAAAGCGATGTATTTTCCTATAAGGTTTTTTTCCCCAGTTTCCATTATCCCGTAGGCTTCATTATACGGTATGGGAACTCAGCATACGATGGGATCACCTACATGTACGCAAAATTCCTACTTATTTCCAATGGTTGAGATCTCATAATAAGCTAGAATTTTGTGTGAAATTGTGTAGGCTTTACTCATCCTAATACCTTACTAGACTTATTGCTTGCAGCTTAAAGGCAAATGTGAGGGAACATAAGATCGGATTAAATGGCGCAGCCTCTAATTATTTGGATGCTTTTTCACTTTGCTAAGGGATGTAGCTAAGTCTCCTCAAAGGATCGCATAGTGCGCAACTTTTCAACCTGTTCATAATGTGTGCTGAAACAAACTATGCCTACGACTAGTCGAGTGATAGGTAGGCAGAAGGCGTGATGAAAGCGAACAAACGGATGAAAGTAAAGGCGAGAAGACCTCGGAGCTGCAGGTCGCAGAGTCAGCACTCTAACTCAAGGCCTTCGCATGGCATTGAAAATCTTCAATGAGGGTGTACACAGAGACGATGAGTCATCACCATGTGTGAAAAGCCACACACGTGCAAACACGCACCGCCATCCAAATCTGAACTACTTCCATAAAAAAAAACAAACTGACACCTTGTGAGCCTTGTACACCGCATGCTGATTCACTAGGAAATACTTCACAGGACACACCACTTTGACCATTCTGAAAAGCTGCTGAAAGACCTTTGTCAAACGTGTATCGGCCATTTCTGGGTGCTCTAAGCGCTAGGACAGGGGGTCGCACCGGCCTATTCCGTATGGCAAACACAACTAACTACTTTTCCACTCGAGTAGTGCACCCAAATGTGACGAAGCATAGATGCAGGATCAGGTGACGACGAAGCACCCGAAATTTGGAGCAAATTAGAACACAAACTCTAGTTTGGCTTTTGTCACCTCATGACTTATGGGGTCGCTGGACATAGTGCATTCATGAAGTTATTGAAAACAAGGTTTGCTTGGAGCTGAGTGCTTTGCTTGCAACCCCTCTAATAATGCTAACTACTTGAAACCATTAAACAAGGCCAAACCTTGGGAAATCATAATTCCGATTTGGTTATGGACTCATGACTCACCCAGAGGTCCGAATTCCAATGCGCATGGAATTGTTTAACTAGTTGATAAAACATTAACAAAGTCACTGATGCGGCAAACAATTATTGGTTCTTCTTAGTCAGTGCTTAAAGCAACAGCAATGCTTGAGCAAGGTCTAGCTGCCCTTCTAACTACGAATTTAAAGCACGGAAGGAGCCCCCTGACAACCGTTCACACTAATTTAGTAAATAGATCAAAGCTCAAAGAAAAAATCACTAATAAATCTTAAAGCGCATAGCACCGAGGACCACATAAACTCAGATAACATTATTCAGAAAATGAATTTACTTGAAATGCATTAGTGATCGACAGAGATATATGTACAGAGGAAAACTAGTCTGATAAGGGATTTAGGCATTTTCGAAACTCTCCTCATCTGAGAAGTAGGAATCTCGGCGTATCCTTCGGCTTTTACGAGGGGGAGAGCCACTGGCGGTAGAGTTGGTTAAGGACCGGCTGAAGTTAACGGCAGCGCTCCAGGTGTCCACATCGTCCTGTCCGTCTAATGCATCATCCTCATGCTCGAGGAGCTCCTGTTCGTCACTGCATGCACAAAGCAAAGATCCATCATTGAAATAAACGACAGATGCGAGTGCATAAGTTTGGGTGTACTACATATTTTGTACTATTAGGTGCATCGCACACAAATAGGTTCGTAAGTCAATAGTAAGACTGCGAACACCAAGGCTAGCTTATGTCCATTGGTCAAACTTCAAGACTACACATCTTATCGACATTACCAAGGCGATGAAGAAATGGCTCCTTACAGTTACAAGTATACACATTGATGATAAAGGAAAAAAGTGAGCACATAAATGACACACCTAGCTACAGGCCTAGACGATGCTTGCTGAGTTTTCCGCTCAGTCCTTTTATTTCTGGGACGTACACGTGCACCCAAGACGTTGTTTGGACAAGTGTAGCTCAGGTGACCATTTTCCTATGGGGAAGAGAATTCACCTTAAGGCATACTCTAAGAAGAAATTCATTAGAGATGATGTGCAAATGCAAATGATATGTAAATGCCTTGAATAGATCAGCCATCATACACACGAATGATTTGTCAACGAGGAATGCTTAAGTATGCCTTTGATAAACTGGTAAATATAGCCTTGAACAACTGAGATAGAGAGCAAACAGTAAGTGAGAAGAGGATGAAATAAGTGCAGATCAAGCTTACACCACACTCATAGCAACGAGATTTGTCAGGATACTCTCGATGCCGAATAAATTCCGCCGCCCTACCATTATCCACGGCTATTGACGCCTTTATATGTCGACCAAACATCTACAATGAACTCATGGCTACGGAAAAAAGGATAAAAAAATAACATTCATCGCAAAGAGCCTCACCTCAGAGCCATTGAGACAACGGACACATTGTTGGGCATCCTCTACACATAGAAACAGAACGAAAGCGACACCTTTGCTCCTTCGGGTTAGCTTATCCTTCAATATCGTGACTCTAAAAGTATATCAAGGTATCAACAGCGATTAAAATAGATAAAAAGTTTCAGAGACAAGCGTTAGCAAACATTGGTTGTGAAATAAATGACACTAAAGGAATGGATAGGAAGACACTAAGAGTGTGTCTAAGTGCAGAAATCACACTCAATAAGCGTGTTGAAAGGTAGAAGTGCAAAAATTCATGAATCCTAGTGTAAAACTAGGTAAATCGAAGACAGGATCGTACATTTCCAACCCTATGACAACCACACTCTTTACAATAGGGAATAACAAATGCACGCTAAATTCGAAAGCAATGACATGATAACATACCTTGTTATTTGTCCGTAACGCTCCAGCAGTTTATGTAAATCGCTATTAGTGAGCGAAAATGGCACATTGGATATGTATACAGTGCTTTTGCTTGGAGCCAATTTTGATGTAGCGCCTTTCATCCGTTGATTCTAAAAAAATTGGAAGGGAATGCAACCCAGAACTAAAAAAAAACAAGTCTCGCGTCCTAATATGATATTCATATAAAGAACAAAGTTGGCTAAATGGGAGCTTAGGGATATGAACCAAGGGGAACGAAAAACAAATGAGCCATGGGACGAGACACGGAACGCCGGAAAGTGGATATGCTTTGATGGATAAAAAGAACAGATATAACTACAGCATTCTCAATTACATTAGATCACAAATCCCAGGCGATGGTGCCACACAACTAGTTTTGTATTTTTGAGACAGGTGGATGACTGATTATAATCAGGGTTACGCGTTACATATAACCAGAAATCGGCACAATCCTATTAGTATTTCGAATGCAGACAATGTTGAAAAACACGAACAAACAGTCACTAGACAAGGCAACCACCTACTAACACGAACAAAGGGAGGAGAAGGGAACGATGAATGCTTTGTGTAAGTGCTTGCTGATATTTACAACAATGGAAAACCCTATGAAGCGTATGCGTTTACACCGAAGTTAGGAAGTGAATGCAACTGATGTTAAGTCCGCAACACCGGAAGACGGAACAAGACACCATAAAACACTACAACCAGCCTATGTAGGTGTTCATTTCAAAAGAGTCCGAAATGCCACCCAGTTCCACATCCGCGTTATTGAGTAGCGAATAACAAAAGAGAATTTTACACTTAAATACGCGGTCACGGGGCCGCAGCCAAACACCAACATTTCTCATTGGTTATTTGAAGTTATGTACTCTATAATTAAACCAAACGAATGCATAACAGTACGTTCAAAGATGTTTTACCACTGAGAAAAATATGCACCTAACTTATTTATTGCGTTTCATGGGAAAGCAAATAATTATTGGATAATTGTGACAGGTTGTCTGATTTAACCCAAATTCCGTAATTTGAATCTATCTTGGGTGTAGTAAGGCATTTACAGTCATATTTTGAGGGAACGGATAGAATGCAGATCCAAAAGAAGGTATTTTATCGATCACTCAGGCACTTTTCTAACTCTTTTACGCTTTGTACTAGCCATATATTACTTCCATGGACCATAAATAGCGTCATTTATATTTTTCCTGATGGAAGACTTTCCATAACGCAGAAATGTTTTCAAGCAGACATTTTTTTAAAATTAATTCATATTCAAACAAATCCATTCTGTTACATTTGAAAGAGAAGAAGAGTTACCGACGCATTAGTCCTTCGCATTTGTGTAGCGTCCTGAGACTCCCTGAAGACGAAAGAAGACAAAATACTCGGGCAGAATATATATATATTCAGCGCAGAGAAGGTGTCTGGGCTATTGGCATGGCCCAAAAGGCTAGCCCACCCAGCGAGGTACAAGGGGATTAATTCCAAGTACATAAGTGTCGCCTCACCAGAATTGAGGGATAAACCACTATCGTGTTTCATTTGGCTTGCATTACTGGAGATTTTGGGTTTGCCTAGGTTGGTAAATTCTTTCGCATCTTTAGCGATATTCATTTAACAATAAGCAATCTTAGTTGTCTGATGCAACTAATAGGTCTTGCACATAAAATTACTCAATAATTTTTAGAATATACGGTAATGCAAATTTCATTAACTACATTTTGCATTGCTTAGTAATAAAAAACCATAGTGTGTTTAACGTTTGCTTTGTATTATTTTTCCTCCACCTTGTGCTATTTTAAAGAAATCCTGGGACTCAGTAGTTTGCTTTTTTTCACACCATCGAAATGACAACAGCTGTAGCGTCCCGAGACTTCCCTGAAGCCGAAAGAAGCCATAATGCTCTGGCAGAATACATATATTCAGCATAGAGAAGGTATTTGGGCCACTGGCATGGCCCGAAGGCCAGCCCATCGGGCGTGGTACAAAGGCCAAACCTAAAAGTGGCTCCTCGCCAATACCGAGAGATAAACAACCATCGCATTGCACAGTCACTGGATCAAGGTTAGCAAGCTGGAAGCTTTGCACAAAAGGTGACGGCACCGTGGTCTGTGGCATGAACTTCACAGCTGTTTCTACGGCATTTTATTATTTCATCCCTTATATTACTTATTGCTTGGGCGCATTGGTGACCAAAAACCTGATCTTAACAATTTAATAAACTCATCCAGGTGTTCTTCGGTAGTAAATCAATGTTCGGCAATCCCTTCGAATGAAGACGGGCATTTTCGAAATTACATTGAATCACCCATGAATAAAACAGTGTCGAGCTTTGTTAATGTCGCATCAATAAATTGACGTCAGATCATGTGCAGTGCATTGTAACTTTGTTTAACCGCGCGGACACTTGAGGCTGCAGGCCGCACTCCCGCCCTATGGAGTGGTCCTCGGGCCTTTTATCTCCTCTGTGCATTATGCGTATGGATTCTTCCAAAGTGCTTTGGCTTTTTACACCTTTGGGGAAGACTTGGGATGCCACACATAATATTTTACAGTTAAATGGTCTGTAAAATTTAATCTCCGTGACGACTTTAAAATTCACTAGTTGTTTTTGTGCTTTTACTTATTTTCAAATACTTTACTGCAGATTTAACAGAAAATATTGGCCTTTCCAATGTAGATTTTATTTATGAACATCAAATGATTTACTTTTAAAACGTGGCAAATATTCCTACACTTAAGTACCCGAAATGTATTTTATAACTACTCTGTAATCATGCTTGTATAGGAATGTGGAGTTTTTGCACAGCCATAACATGCATCCAGGCCAGAGCAAATTCCTATGCTTAAAAGCCTCAAGTTTTCAGGTCATGTTTTAATAGGTCTCAAAAACGGGTATCCGTCACAAGCTATGCTGATAGGGTCAAAGTTACTGGATAATTGGAGGTGAATTGCATTGAAGCCATTCATTTGATTAAAAGTATGCATTATTTTTCTAATTCCGGAATTCTGTGTGCTATCTAGGAGGGGAAAGTGTACTAACGTATAAATTCATTTTTATTCTTCTAATATTTCACAAATGCGGCTTTATCTGATTTGATATTATCCGTACTCGTTAATTAAATATTGTTTTGGACTTAGGATGTTACTTAGGTGACTTTGGTCGGCAACTTTTTGTTACGCCTTATCTAAACACCATCAGCTTCTCACATGCAAATATTAATGAGTAATTGTGGGTGTTATTCAAATATTAAATGTGTCCTCATCACTTTTTAAAGAATAAAATTATGACTTCTTTAGGAAGTTGTGTAATTTGGTGAGATAATTGCCACTTGTGCACCTATTTTGCAGGGTTAGTTCAACTATTTACTTAACGCTCAATATTTTGAACCCAAACGATTAATTGATTAATGGTTTTCAAAAAAAATGACTCAATCAACTAATTTCCTTCATGCTGATAGTGGTGGTGAAAAGAAATTCTCCCACTTTTTAAAAATGTTAATGGCCACGTATGCTTGAGAATCCCAAAGCGTATTGGTCAGATGCACGATCATGCGCGTTTGCGCCCTCTCCCACGGGCCAATCAGAGGGGAGCGGGGTGAAGGTGGGAAGCGAGACAAGCGCCTCTCTTCTCCCTCTTTCTCATCCCCCCTTTTTCCCAAAGAAGTGCCATCGCATCGTGGACGGGGGCACCTCAGGACACGCTTGAGGGGGATCCAACCGCAGAAATGAGCAGACAGACGTCAGGATCGGAAGGGGTAGATTATGGTAGTAACAACTCCGAGATGTTCTCCAACCATTTCAAAAGAATTTTGTCTGATTACATGGCACTTTTCCGCTTGATCTTTGAAACCCATCGTAAGTTGAATCTAACTAATGTGAACCGTAACCCAGGTACGATCTATGACTTTCAATATGATCCAAAAGGAGTTAACAATATTTTTGCTAGCTTTTACCATTCTCTACTATCAAAACATGTGTTAAAAGATATTGATAATCTAGTTTAGATATAGACCTATTGTCAGAATTGATAAGGACTCCTTTGTCTTAGATAACTTCATAGTTGTGTTGCTTTTGAACCTATATCTACCATTCAATCATTTTTCAAACAACTAACGATAGCAACAAGTGATGACTCGCAAATACCAGGAATGAATACTTTTGTATCCAGAAGGCAATTGTAATACATAACCATTATGTCAGATGCAAAGTGCTGTGACAAAAAAAAGTTACGATGGGTCATGTTCAGCCTCGGCCTGGAATTTTTTCCACATATTTCTTTTATCGGTGCACAAATAGTGGTTGCTGAACCGTGATGTAGGGGTAGTCCCTACAGAAGTGTCTAGATATCAAGCCTCCCCTTGCTTACTACGTTTGTTACAAAAATAAAAGGACGTAGGGCTTAAGCAGTTGCGATTAAAGGTTTGTAAAATGTTCAATTGCCTTTGCTGCATGTGGTTTTAAATAGTGGCAGTGATGAAATTCGCAAGGTCTCTCCGTTATTCGAGTTCAAGGTAAACTCATGTTTCATTTAAACTTAACTTTTGCGAGAAAGCGTTTAAACATTCATGCTAAAAAACTATTTTAAACATCCACAAGACATTACTTATACTTCTTTACAAGGTAATATTGGTTCCAACTCAAAAACCCAAGATAGTACAATATTCGTGGTGCTTAGTGGGAAGAAAAGGTGGGAAGAAATCATCTTCTGAAAGAAGGTGCCCATATTATACGTATTTATAAAATTACATGTTGAGCCTTCGCTTCGCTCATGTGAAATTAACCATAGCTGAAATTGGTACCCAGGATGGTTCGCCATGGATTGCAAAATACGACCACACACAGCCAAGCATATTGCAGCATTGTACCATCCGCTTTGGTGCGGTTAATTAGCGCGCATGCTTTCCCTCCTTTGTCAGCCCTCCCCAAGTCCGCAACTGCATTTGGTTTCGTGCGCATGTTGACTCGGCATGCGACCCATGCTGTAACAACATCGAACACGCAATTGCTGGGTCACGCCCGCGGTAGGGACCGGGCCGCCGAAGGAGGCAGTTTGTTATATCACACCAACACCTGTTCCTCCCAAGGCATCTAAGGTCACAGCTGTTCTTGAGCGGTTGCCATGGCAATCACAGTGACTGTAGTCACTATTCTGCATTCATCAACGAACTAGAACACAAAATTGCTTAGGATTTTTAGAAATGTGGTATGCATTACCATAAGTGCATGATCTCATTCAGATTCAATTCGCATCAAACCCCACTTAATCAAAGCAATGAACAAAGAACAGGCGTTATGGATGGTGAAATCAAGAAACCGACATGCTGGAACTTTAAGCAGCTTAACCTCTTTGCGTAATCTGGGCAGTCAGCAACACAGACGCGGGGGCAACATATTAAACGATCCCTTTTCCTTTAAGGGAAGCTGTTCACCCTAGAGGAAATGTTTAGTAAACTCATCTAGGCATACCTATTTGTGGAGACTGGGAACATGGCATTAGGTGGAAATGGATGGTTGGTCTGCAGGCACCTTTAAGTACACTCCTTCCAAGTAATAAAAGTTCGTCAGGTTAGCATACCCATTAGGGGTTCGTCGCCTCCTAGACCGCAGAGAGTAGGGCAGAACTGCTCAGTGAGTGACCTCATGAGAACGTCATTAGCCAAATTTACCAAGGTGGATATGCATAGTTGAAGCAAAAAATATTTTTATTTTGCAAGTTCTTCAGTTCTATAGGGTCATTTGTCCGAAATTAGGGATTTGTATGAGTTATAGTAATTCAAATAAGAGAATATTGAGCTGTCAGTGGTTTGACACTTACACATCGCTCAAGAGGCTTCCCAAATTTACGATTTCGTCATCGTTCATCAGTAATAATAAGCATAAAAAAGAAATCACTTAAAATTGTCTCTAATTTTCAGACCTCACAAATAGGACTCGCCTGCTTGGCGCGAATCAGCCAGGAACAGGTGACGGCTGCATATTTCCCTACTTCAACTCAACAAAATACGTTCCCGTGCCACCGCCAGCGCTGCTCTCCTGCTACCTCCGAATAAGTGGTGCGTCGTTCACTCATGTGTAGAAGGGCAGTTTTTGCCCAAACCCAAGTTGGCTGACATTTTTGTGTTGTGACATGTTCATTTCATTACAGGGTGTCAATCCCAAGCAACGCGTGATCAAATGCTGCGAAACGCTGCTGCTTCGATGGAGTTTAATCAGAATGACTTGTCAAACCTAGCGGGAGTTTTTCAGTTAGAAGCTAGGGGTTTGGATTCAGCGGTCATTCAATGTGCGGTGGAGGCAAATGGGTAAGTTTGGGAATGCAAAAATACCATTTGCCTTAGGAACTCTAGACTTCAGAGCTGCCCACCTTCAAGAGCACCACGAACAACTTGTCTCCGAGATATGCGTACATATCACCGTTCACCACATGGACTCAGAGTTGACAAAACAAGTAAGCTGAGTATCTAATCCATGTTTTTAACTTCCCTTTTTACCTACAATCAAACGATAGAACCAGCAATTTTTATTCATCATGTTGCCGTGTGCTATCTTCAGAAGTTCAAATTTCCTGTAATCTGAAAGCCTGATATGTGCCCGGTATGCGTTAGCATTAAAATTCTCCTTAGCTACGTGCCGGTAAAAACATGTCCATATATTTGGTTAAGGGGTAAGGATGTTCGCGCCAATTTTAGTGGAGACAGGTAGGAAATATTAGCCGAATCACAATTACAATGCCACCCGGTGCAGAGTTAGATGCGGATTTTCAAGCAACTTGTAAAGATGAAATGCGAATTTAAACTCCACTAAGGGCATCGAATAATGATTTTGAACTCAAATCAAACGTGTTTTTTTGCGCACAATTCGCAATTTCTGAACAATCGCCCAATCAAAATAATGAAATTGCTCTCAAAAATAATTACATTCACGCAGCTCATTACCTTTATGAAACATATTATTAATTCTAAAAAAAAAACAAGTGTATTTCGTTTGACACAGCAAACATATACCTAGGCAATAACCGATCCACGATTGAATTAGATTGCGTATCCCAGTTCGAATCATGTTATGCTTGCACTTCACCACAAATACACGCCGTTCCTCCACTTTGATAAACTCACCTCATCAAAAATTAACCGCAAAAGAAAAGTACTAAAAAATAAGAAGTGAGAAATTTCTGTTCCTTATTTGTAGAAAGCTCAAAATGTTCTCATCTCTCTAGTCAGCAAAAAAACAACCCCTTGAAAAGTTAGTTTGGAAATACGCATAGGCCTATAAGAGAGCAAAGTTTAAGTACTACCATTCCCATTGACAGCGGCGGATATGAGTTCGCATAGCAGCAAGAAGTCATCGTTGCCGCAACGGAGGCCTTACACAGCCTCTGAGTTGGCCTCCGCCGTGAATGCTATCTGCTCCGGCCGGCTGGGCACTCGGCGGGCGGCCAGCATGTACGGCATCCCGCGATCCACACTGCGCAACAAAATCTGCAAGCTTAATGAGATCAGAAAACACGAGGAGACTATGCGTGGAGGCAAACCGATCTCGCTATCCGAGTTTGTTCAACAGTTTACCTCTTCCGGGAAACTGTCGAACGACACCTCACACAGAAAAGATGTTGGTTGGTACTCATCATCAGTCGCCTTGTCGTACAGATTGGCGTCTGTGTTTAAGGTCTGTTGCCACTGGTAAAAATAATTTACTCGATAGATTATTATTTGTTTTTCAAACCTGTTCGGCAGTCCACTTAGGCTAATAGAGGATATTAGGACACCGATACATTTATTCGAGCGTTAGTCATTTTTTAATGTCTGTGGCCAAATCAGGTCTTACCGATTTGACAAGCGCATAAATACTGATAAGTGTTCTGAAGGTGCTATTGTATAAAAAAATAACTATAGTTGTATCCTTTAGCTTTAGACTAGTGTTTTCAACGATAGGTCAATTGTCGAACCACACCGTCGGAGCGGTCGGATGGTACATCACTCCGTACCTTCTTCGAGGAAAACGATGTCTGGAACATGTAACACTCACTTTTAAAAATGAAGCCAAATGCTAAAGGAATGAAAACCCAAGGGAAACGCTGAATTTTGGTTTTCTAGTCTTCGTGATAACATTTCCATTCTTACTTTAACGACAAGCACACGAGTGTTTCTATGCAATGTTGTGGATGGTAACTCTTGCATTTTACCTCTTGTCTGTTTATTGTGATTTGGCGCTTGTCCTACTTCTACACAATGAAATCCCTCTAAGGGAGGGGGGGGGGGGGGGAGCGAAACCCTCAAATCTCGTTGCATAGTATTAATAAAACAATTTAGGCAGCGGCCAATGTCACCTCCACTCCTCCAGTTCAAGACTGTAAAACAGCGGGCTCCCCATAGACTGGGGGTCTATAAGCATGCAGCGGAGAGATCAGATATATTCGTCCTTAATTATTCTGTTGCAACTTTACCATCTTACTACAGCAAAGGCAAACTTTTTTACTTAAAATTAAGGGTTATGCATTCTAATAAATTGGGAATTGTTTGTTCATTTCATATACATTACATATAAGGAGTGCGAAGTATTTAGAGTGGTAGGATCACTATTTTTAAAGGCTATATTTTCCCATTTATACACGTACTCATAATAAAAATGCTTTCTGGACTCTTATCCTCTTTTGATACTTTCTTATATAGGCCACAATTCCTGGAGGCTAGTGATTCCTAAATCTGTCATTCTCCTTTCCCCTTTGATCACAGGAAGCAAAACCTGAGGCAGCTCAAACGTCGATTTGTGTCGTTGTTCAGCTGAAAGCAGATACACTGGCCTGCCACTAGATTTGCACAGTCGCCTCTCCATCTGAGGACGTTCATTTTTATCTCCAGGATGTCGGAACTTCTCGGTAGACTCCAGTTGTTCTCTGGTCATATTGCGCCCTATCAAACAGAGTCGCACAAATACATTCTTGCCAATTACAAGTCGCTGACGTACTCGAGTCAACATGGTATCAGCATAGAGTAAAGATGATGGGATATTATTGAGTTTCATGTGCAGATCGGCTTCCTTTTTCGTTAATAATAGCGTATTCCATGGTGACCACGGTTCCGTGACCTTCCATCGGCAAAGCGTCAAATCACCAAGTTCCGAACATCCGGAAAGAGCAGATCGGCCATTCCAAATTTTGTTTACAAGAAAATAAATATCCTGGATATTGACAAGCAATTCAAGATGATTTGATATGTTCTCCGTCCTAATTAATGAATTCTGACTTCCTGTTTTGAATAAAGCTCCTGCGTCGATTGGTGTGTAGTCCCTAGCTTCTCTCCTTCGTATCTGTTCTTTTACGGCCTCATCGAGAGCAACAAGCTCCATTTCCCGCAGTTCAGCTTTTTTGTTGCGATGGGCCTTGCGGATCAGCTCAGCTTCCGATTTTTGAAGATCTTCAAGGATTAGTCGATAGGGTTCCAGGTCTACCCGATCCCTTCCACGGTTTCCCTGTCTCCAGCAAAATAAGCAAACGTCTAAATGCTTAGCTCGTGCACTAACACCAAACTTTGCGATCTGAAGGTATCCTCCGCAGGAAATACATCGATGAGTGTCTTTCCACATTTTTGTGCGAGCATTCGGATCATTTTTATCAGGAATCGGGAGGAACGGTGCCACTGCGGGGTTATATTCAGGAACCTTGCAAAATTGTATGAAGCGCTGGAGGATACGCTGACGCAAGCCAGTTAGCATAGGAACCGGAATGTTTCGAAGCATCAACTCCGTCTCTCGCTCCGCAAGCATCACGATGTCACAACTTAGTGAGGATGGGTACTTCCCAGCTAACTTCTTAACTGTAAGAAGTAAGTCCATCCGTTCAGTCTTACTAAGACTACTGGACTTCAGATCTTCGTATAAGGTTAGGAGACTTTTTCCAAAAAGAGTATATGGGGTATCCTTTTCCACGGGGCCTCGTCCCTTCATATCCCTCCAACAAACTGTTGAAGCAGCTTTTTCGATGAAGTGTTCTTGCTCTCGCATTTTCCCATAATCAGATAGTTCAATTTGCTTTTGGGTAATTTTTTTGATAAATTCAACTTCCTTGTCGAGAACTAAACCCATATTTGCCTTCCTGATAACTAGAGTACTTGAGTTCCTATAAGCATTATTCACCTTATTAACGTGCCATTCTTCAAGGGCATTAAACAGTCTATCAATGTCATATCGTGTTTTCGGAGTAGCACGTCTTTTGTAATCAAGATCCAACCCATTAGCTTTTTCTTGAAGGTATACCCGTTCCTCTTCCTTGACGAACTTATAATATTCATCTCGAAGCGTACGAAGGCGAGCAACTCTACGTTTGGCAAGCCAACAACGTACATGCCTTTGTATGACAATTGCCTGAAATACAGTCAAGTATACAAATATATTATCGAACAAGAAGGGAAATGTGTGTTTAAACAATAAAAAATAAATGATTATCGCTAAAAACGAAAATTTTTTAGGAAAGTCCCGAATAAAGACAAATTCAAAGTGTAAACTCACACATCGGTTAAGCCGCGTTCTATACTCGTCTGCAGTTTCGTATGGTCCGGGTGTTATCTCTTTATCATTAATATTGGTTACAAAAAAACCGGGTTTCGTCATCGCCGTTGTGGCTTGATGGAGTGTTTCCTGTTCCTCGTGCTTTACTGCATACGTTTGTGTTTCTCTTGAGAAAAGTGGGATAGGTGAATCTTCGGGAGGCTTTGGGGCCGTTTGAGACGTGGCATGGTGAAAAAGAACCTGATCTGATTTTCTCCGATAACCACCCAAAAAGGTTTTTTTAACCTATCATTGATCCAATGTATCTGAACAATATGCGGCCCAGGATCGATATCATTGCCTACTAGATTCACCTCCAGATTATCTGGTTGTCTATCCTTTAATTTTTCATCTCCCTTGTAAACATAAACCGTAATATCATCTGTACGAGAAAGCTTGCATATTCTCCTTCCTAAGTGAATTTTAGTTGTTTGAGAAGGATGTTTGAAACGGCACTCTATTTCCGGAACAACACTCAGGTCTTTGAAAAGTCTTTTCGGTGTAACTCCACTTCTTATTAAATCATTGTTGTAAAACAACTTTATATTTTTAACATTATCAGAGCACTCTTCTGCGAGGACACGGCGAAGCAAATCAAATGGTAGCCCATCGGGCAAATCATTAATTTTCATAATTGTGTTATACGGAAACTTAATGCGCACCACAACGCACCAAGGCTTTAAACTGACACCAGCTCTAGAATCCGGGTTGTTCATATGTAGTTCTACAAATTCAAAAATTAGCATCCTTCTTACATGTTGTTTTAGTTATTTTCTCCTGAACTGTATTAATTCATTTTTTAGTGCTTCCCTTAAAGTCAGTGCGAAAATGAGTCCACGTGAAACCGTTTTTTAGACAGCTGTCGCTTTTTAAGTTTTAGAAGCTGAGGTATTTACCACTACTATAGGGTAACGAGGTAACTGAACCTTTTACGAGATTCACAACCTAATGCTCGAGTTGCCACATGACGCGAAACTATAGCAGTACAAGGTAGGCGACTATTAAAACACATAGCTCTTGCTTTGTTAAATATCAGTAAATTCCAAAACATTCAATATACACAAATGCAGAAAAGTGAAGAATTGTAATTAGGATTAACCTAGTGCATCATATTTCGGATTCGAGTTATATATGGGATCATTGTGTTCACTACGAATATTCTTTCAACATTATGTGCTAAGTTCACCATTAATTGTTTTTTGTTTTACGAATGACTTATCTAAACCAGCTAACTCAAGCAAGTTACTTTGTGGCTGGAGATGAATACGTCAATTGCATGTTAGAGCCATGGAGACACAGTGCATTGCTCCGAGACTCCCCTGAATTCTAATGAAATAACAGAGCGTTTCTTACTGACTTGTGGAGGAACCAGAAGGCTTCTAGCCTAGTCTTCAGACCATGTCCTGCAGTGGATATACCTGAGCGATTCAGCACACATATAGCGTCCCGGGACTCTCTGAAGACGAAAGAGGACACAATACTCGGGCAGAATATATATATATATTCAGCACGGAGAAGGTGTCTGGGCTATTGGCATGGCCCAAAAGGCCGACCCACCCAGCGAGGTAAAAGGGGACTTATTTGCAGTACAAAAGTGGCGCCTCACCGGTGCCGAGGGATAAACCACTATCGTATTGCACACATGTGGAGCGAGACTCCTCGGTCTCCGCTTCCCGATTCCTAGCGTTCCTAGACAATCCCGGTTGGTTTGCTTTGGACATCTTTATTAAAGACGACAAGATGTATAGGGAAAATACAATATTCAAGAAGGAGGGGAGCCGCAGTCACTAGGTAAGGGAGAGGGCGATCCAGTTACAAGGTTCGAATTTCCTGCTTGCCTCCTCCCTGAAAGCCCATTCAAACAACATAAGTATTACACACAGCTAAAGAATGTATCCAGGCCTCCTAATAACAATCGCTTGAAAAGGGGTGCGAAATTTTCATGCCTTCTTTCATTGCTATCGTAAGTTTATGAGAATCTATGAAAGAATAAAAAGGCCTGACCCAGTTTTCTTACTGTATGCGTCCGTAAATTTATTTTGATGAGGACTTGATGGTGTCGATGATGAGACGCTAGTACCAGATCAATCATCTAAAAATATAATTGCAACGACCCACTGGCCTAGCCGTTGCTGGCCCTGGCTTATTATGTTTTACTCATCTATTTTTTGAACCTTAGGCCTTCCCTTAAGTCGTACCAACTTAATTCATAAAGGCGAAGGATTTATGAAAGACGTAGGGAGCTGTTTGGAGAGCACTTGGCAAAATTTCGATCTATGGAGACGAGAGATTGGAAATCACTAAAATTTCGTGTGTACACAAGGAATATATGTTTTTGGTCGCTTAAGGCATAGGGGATTAGTTCTAATACACTGGAATTGTACTTATCAGAACATTGGAAGTCGCTATATTATAGTGGTTTTTAATACTTGAAGCAGCTCTCTAAACTTGTCAGTTTTATTCAGTGTAATTACTTTCGTTTATGAAGGTAGATCATGGTCCCAAAAATGTACACAAAATTAAATGTTACTTTGTTAGCCACGGGGAAGATAGTTGCACAGTGTGTGGAGTCTTTCTTTTGCAAAAGTGCTATTATGGTGCCCCACGTCTTTCCTGAAGCTGTAGGATGTCATATTAATGGAGACAAAGGGTATAGCTGGCGAATAGAAGGACTGAGAGGTTGCTGGCATGACCTGGAGGCCATGGCACCGAATAAGAGTACAACCTGCTGGATTTTAAGTGCCTGCGTAATCAAACACAGAGTTTAACACTATCATAGTATTGCAATACTGGTTGCGCTTTTAAGATTTCGCAGCAGGTAAATATTTCGCTTAATGCTTTGCATTCCTCAGTAGCATTATTTTCTTAGTACCCAATTGTTTCAAATGAAATCTTTCCACTCATACTTACCCTGACGCTTTAACGAATGATATGGCATTTTGTTTTCTAGATGGTTGCGTGTTTTGGACAATTCTTTCTTAAATCCAATATTAGGAATTAATAAGATTTACGTAGGACAAGGCTCGTAGGTCTCCTCTTTCCTGGCCCTCATACTCTTAGAGCAACCGGGTTGATTCAGTTTACTGGGTAAAGGAAATGGGGAGAGCAGATACAAGTTCAGGGAGGTGAGGACACGGAACCTTTCTCCGGGTTGCAGGACATTGACCCCTCCTCCGTCAGGAGGTTCGATTCGTACGCCCGCCTCCCCTCTGAAAGGAACATTAAAACAGCATAAGTATTGCATTTAACTAACGATGTCTGCTGAATAGGAAGCGGATACTTTATACGCGACTATGAGTCCTTTGGCGCTTACACCTTACTTTGTGAAGATCAAACGAGATTTCTCAAAGTCGTGGAAAATCGGCTCCATTTGTTGTTCCACAACATCCCATTTACCAGTGCTGTACGCCGAATAATCTCGTTCACACTAATGTAAATGTACAGCACAAACTCCCTGCTTCCTTTTGTTGAGGTGCTCAATGAAATCTACAAACATTCCGCTGTAGGCCTCAGACATACGCTTTCCGAAATTGTATTATGTATTCCTGACATATAACTATTCTCTTTCAATTGAGATTTTACCCAGGTGCTCCCATAAAAGTTAGATTGTTCTATTTAATTTCTATATCATTCAAATACAAAGGCTACGGTGTTTTTATCAATCAGTTCAGCCATCATATCAATCAAGTGTGCAACTTTTCTGTGCTTTGTTTGCAGCACAGGTTTGCGCAAAAAATGCATTTGGGAAGTGGGATTTTGCATCGATATATTGTATATTTATGAAAGTCAATGTGTTTGCAGCAGAAAATGCATCTTAATTTATTTAGACATTCCTCTGGCCCGTTTTATTGATACCTGGACATTATATGTATTTAAGAGTGAGGTTTCTATGTTGCTATGATGGCAAATGACGTTTTGCTGACATTAATAATAATTTGGGACATTTAATGGATATGTGTTTAGTTTACGAAACACTCTAATCAGTGTCATCTTTTGTACAGATGTTGGTCTGCATCGTTGCGCTAAGAGACCTCATTTTTCACGACACCACTCTCCAAGCTCATGGACAAACTATTCAGGTTTATGGACTTAAGAATTTCGCATTAGAAGCCCATCTATTTTTTAATGCAGTCCTTATATTATACACCTGTTCCACTTTGCTTCTACGGGTCTCTTCGGACATTTTCCTTGCTGGTGTCTATAGGGTTTCATGATGCGTCAATTTTAAGTGGTTTAATTGCTTTGTTATTTTAGTGACAAAGTTCAACACATTTGCAAGGTAAGTCGTAACCATTTTAGATTAGGTACTATTTTTTCGACTTTACAGGAACTCCGATCCCTCCACTAAGTCATCTATAAATCCATATGGTAAGGTATCACTTAAAAGTGATCAAATAGGAACAGTAGGAGCCGTTAAATGGTTCCCCATCAAGTCGTTTCCATAAACAGATAGTGAGTTTCCTAAATTTCTGCATCTGTCACCGTAATGCACAAGCTGTACGCTTGGAGTACATCAAATCATAAGTCATAACGATAGCATAAACTTTCAAATTCATATTATGCTTTAAATATCACCATTAATCCTTATTGTGTGGTTCTAAGTTGGGCGTATTTCCGATGCAATTGCTGAAGCAATGCTTGAACGTGTACCATCAAAACAATTAAAATGCTAAAATTCTGCAAATCGGCAGGAAGATCCTTAAAAAATAAATACCTGAAGGTTTTTCCTACTTGTGTTTTTTTAAATAACCTCATTGTAAACTGTCAATGGGTTTTAGATCAAGTCCATCGCCAAACCAACCGCACTTTGATCAGGCTAGTGTTCACTGCCTCCCACCCATGAATGCCAAAAGGACCCCATGCACTTTCAATGTATACTTAGCTGAGCGGGGCCTTCCGTCACCGCAGTTTCGCCTTCTATTTTGGTGGTGTTCCGTCCTCTCCATACGTCAATGATAAATGGTCCTCCATGTTGCAATGACTTACTGAGACTTCAAAGAAAGACTCGGGGAAGGATAATGCTCTAGTGTGTTTTATGGAATCGTCTTACTACTTTCAAAACAGAAACAATATCTACTCGCGCCAACTATCCAGCTGAGATGTACAGCTGTAGAACAGTTTAAACGACGTAATCTTCGCAAACGCTTTGGTAATAGTTTGAAAGATGCAATGCTCCGGTATGAGTATAGCTCCTTGTAAAAGATTTTGATAAAAGCAACCTGTCTACAATGCTTATTTAACAGAACCGTATATTAATCTCCAAAGGAGTTGGCTTACAAACACTCAATTCCTTGAAAAAGGAGTGTTCAAATGTTTATGACATTCATGCCAATTTAACCTCAAAGTCACACTGTGAGGTTTCCAAATCCGCTTGTCGACGGCAAAGCCATTAAATTTCAACTAATCTATGGGTATCTAATGGACTAGAGAAACATTCCCATTGTGATACTCTAGAAGGCTCTATTTAAAATTAGAATCGCTGCATATCCCAAAACATTTCTTAGTTTGCATTCTCTTATAATTCCCCTCATTGACCAGTATCACGAAGAGGCACTCACGATAGATACCAATAAACGCTATAAGATCAAGCTCATTCGAAATAGCATCAATTGGTGAGAATGGTAGAGAGTAGTCCTCATATTAGAGCCTTATCTCTTGGTTATTCTGGTTGGTATCTCGATAGTGCCAATGACCACACAAATACAGAGTAGTTCATAACAGTATTCCTTGTCACTTGGCGTGAGTGTTCTTAAAAGCTGAAATATAGGCAGAACTTTAGTCTAATTCCCCTCATCGCTTTTGGAGAGCTTTGCTACTTGAAGAAGTAAAAACAACTCAAATGAAACTCAGTCTTAAATTTGAAAAACCGAAGACTAAGGGGACTCATGCCGAGTTACAAGATAGTTGGATACGCTTTATTCCCATATTATCATGGAAAATGCAGACGTTATCACAGGGGACTTCTGTGGCAAATACACCACTATGGCAGCATTTCTTTTGTTGCATCGAACTCTGCTTAATAGATAAAAAGTGCTAAAATGTCAGAAAGGCCTTCCACTCCTTTGCAATACTTGGCTTACAATACTGTCGTGTTATTCCGACATGGCCCATTTCAATAACTTTCTGCCGCCTTATCACGGCATCAAGTTGGATACCCTACCTAGAGCGCTAAGTGTCATTCCACTGGATTGTTCACGTGAGATTCACCATCAACGAGGTTTGCGCTGTCTTAAAATTACACTGCTGGTAAATTTTGAATTGAAACCGTAGTATGGGAAAACAATTTTAATCGTCTGAATCCAGATCAGTTAAAATGTAAAATTTTGAATCAATAACACTTACATATAAAAAACTTCCCGTTGAATGAAATTTTAATGAGCTTCACTTGCAAACGCATAAACCTAGTCCGTGGATACTTAAGACAATCAGGAGTTCACCTATAGTTGGGTAAACAGGCGAAGTATGCCAGTTAGTGATTCAGGCTGATTCTGTTACCACAAACGTGGGTAATGAGGTCCTGGAATCTGGTTAGTCAAAATTAATCACTATTTTCCACAACCTGGTGTTGGGCCTAGAGCAACTAGCTAGTTATTTTAAAATTCCATTCGGAGCCCAAAAGTGAAGCTCCATTAAAACTTGGCAAGTTTTCAGAGGCACACCCAAGCTGGCTAGTCGGAAGCATCTCCAAAATTGCAGTAGTGCATTTGTAGTCGAAAAGCATCATAATCCTACGGCAGAATGGTCATGCATTCAATTCAAATGTTTTCATCTGTGGTTTCCTCGAGACCAGCCCTTTTCACTAGTGTTGGCATCACTTCAATAGCGTTATTTAAGTTTTCGATCCTATGCAACTTTCCACGGCAGATTGAGTGAGTAAATGCCACGCAGTAGAGGTGTAATACAGCCAAATTTGTGGTGCGACATCGGTCCCTAGAGTAAATAAAAATGAAGAAATCGTTACACAACGAGCTGGTGAGCTTAAATAACCC